GTAAATAGCTATCAAAACTTATGTGAATGTTATGGACAATAAGTTAGTAAGGGTAAGATATAAGGATGACCAAGTTCAGTATTACAAATAATACAATGCTTCGCTGTAGGTTCCAACACAATTATCAAGCAAGTTGTTCATCCATACATCTTAACCTTATGACTGCCAACTTCTGCATGTCCTTCATAGAAAACTTAGTGATTTAAAACAACATTTGTACTGACATTTGCTTTTGATAAAGTTCAGACGGCATACAGTATCTTTTTACCAGAAATGTAGAACATTTTTTCAGCATATTATTCACAGGCTTGTATACAAGGCAAATGAATCATGAAGCAAACATAAGTTGCGACACAAACGCATTAGGTAAATTTTATGATTCTGTGATTTCTGCATCTGTTCTGTTTATAACTTGTGTATAAAGTGTCTGACAGATTTCTGATCTAATTCTTAACTGGTTCTGGTAGCCATTTTGAGTCCTTTTTTTTACATAACAGAACCTTTCAGCCATGGGTTTATGTGAAATCTGATTAGTTAATAATGTGATAAAAACTGAATCCTGGACCACTGTGTAACTATCTCGTATATGTTCAGGGGCCATTCATGTTTTGGACATCTCTTTTCAAAGTACAGAGCTGGAACCTTCCATGGTTGATTCAGGCAGCAGTGTCGTTAAAACTCATTACTCATTGGCATCAGATTGGCAATATTGAAAAATGTTATTAATGCTCTTCACATGACTATTTATGAAGATATGGATGAGTGATTTCACTAATATGGTACAGGCATAAATGTATCGCATTGATTTTTACCCAGAATTTGAGGATGACTGATCAATTTAACTGCTCATAGCTGTGCCTTTGCCGTCCATTTTCTATGTGATTGATAAAATGATGTTAGATTGTTAAAATCCTAATACAAGTTAACAAAATTTCATAAATAATTTTGCAAATATTTTAACCCCAAATGATTGTAAGCTAATGAACTTCATGGCTGTATTTGTAAGAATAAATGTTCATATAATTGTTTGGACATTTAAGCATTTAATGCTCTGAAAGACATTTGCATGGAGATCTAGCAGTGCTTCAGAATGTATGACATTCAACAATAACGATGATAGGATACTAAACACCAAATCAGTAGGACTACATAATGAATCTGATGATTAATAACAACAGTCTTTTAAATACAAGATGTATTTAAATAATTCATTTTGCAAAACATACATCCAGTTGCAGTGCCAATTGCAGTGAAGCGGGTCATTTTACTAATAGAAGTGTTTCTAGCCTCATGAACAGATGTAGTTAAGTGAGTGAGTTTAGTTTTACGCCGCACTCAGCAATATTCCAGCTATATGGCAGAGGTCTGTAAATAATCAAGTCTGGACCAGACAATCCAGTGATCAACAGCATGAGCATCGATCTACATACTTGGGATACGATGACATGTGTCAACCAAGTCAGTGAGCCTGACCACCCGATCCCATTAGTCGCCTCTTACGACAAGCATGGGTTACTGAAGGCTCATTCTAACCCATATCTTCCCGGGTTGATGTAGTTAAGTAGGAACAACCCTGACAGTACTTGAAAGGAGTGACAAGAGCTTGTTTCTACGTGATGATGTAATTTCAGAATTAGAACAGAATCGAAAGTGTACATCATTGTGCTTCTTTTCTGAAAAGATGCTTCTCTATGTAGGACTACCAACAATCATAATCTGTTATGACATAAATATGACTATCTATTGCAGGATAAACAAACTGCTAGAGGGTCGATATTAGTTATGTCTCCCCCCAAAGGGTCGGGAGACATTGTTTTTGGTTGAGTTTCCGACGGCATTGACAATCTCATTGTTTCCGGAACACAACTCTAAAACTACTTGAACAATCTTCACCAAATTTGGTATACTGCCTCTCCATATCATGTAGATGTGCCTTTTGGGGTTTGAGTATTTTTTGACAAAAAAATTGTTTCTGTTTTCACGGCAACAATTTGGACTCTGACGTTTTGAAGGGTAGAGTTCGTTTCCGGAGCAAAATTCTGAAACTATTTGACCCATCTTCACCAAATTTGCTATACTGCCCCTCCATATCATGTAGATGTGCCTTTGGGGGATTTGTTTTTTTCTATTCAATTTTTTTTTTCATACTTAGAGATTTTGAAAGTGAAGGAATCAAATGAAGTGTTTGAGGTCTCAACATTGAATTGGGGGAAGGGGGAGACATCTGTTTTTAAGAGTAAAAACACTTTCTAGTTGAAAACTGGGTGGATATAGGTGAAAACTATTGGAGGGTGGACATTAGTTGAAAAGTGTTGGAAGGTGGATATAGTTGAAAACTATTGGAGGGTGGACATTAGTTGAAAAGTATTGGAGGGTGGACATTAGTTGAAAACTATTGGAGGGTGGACATCAGTTGAAAAGTATTGGAGGGTGGACATCAGTTGAAAACTATTGGAGGGTGGACATTAGTTGAAAAGTATTGGAGGGTGGACACATATTGGAGGGTTTAGAAAAGTATTGGAGGGTGGACATTAGTTGAAAACTATTGGAGGGTGGACATCAGTTGAAAAGTATTGGAGGGTGGACATTAGTTGAAAAGTATTGGAAGGTGGACATCAGTTGAAAACTATTGGAGGGTGGACATTAGTTGAAAAGTATTGGAGGGTGGACATTAGTTGAAAAGTATTGGAGGGTGGACATTAGTTGAAATCTATTGGAGGGTGGACATCAGTTGAAAATTATTGGAGGTTCAATTTTCACAATATTGGAGCCTATTGTCATGAATGGGCGTGACCAATCTTCAACTCACATTCAACTGACTTTGTTTTAATATTACATTATGGTGAAAACTAAGTGGGAAGTAATTTTTAGTAAATCAATGTGTCATTTGCCAAGGAATCCTGACATGTAATTTAATAACTTTTACAACTCACAGTAACGATTCAGCCAGCTGTGCTTTTGTTTCAGTCCATTATTTCTGTGATATATAATACATTGTCCACTTTGTACATGAAATGGACAGATACTGTGGCAAATATATGAGCAATGGGTCAGTAAATCAATAAATCAAAGGTCACTTGCATGACTAGAAACTATTGACTGCCATGTTAGATTTGAGAGTAACAGTAAATATCATTTGCAAGTTCTTATTTAGATTTGATTTGGATAATATGAGTCTCTCTCTCTCTCTCTCTCTCTCTCTCTCTCTCTCTCTCTCTCTCTCTCTCTCTCTCTCTCTCTCTCTCTCTCTCTCTCTCTCTCTCTCTCTCTCTCTCTCTCTCTCTCTCTCTCTCTCTCTCCTCTTTTTCTCCCTCTCTGTGTGAGTAGGGGATGGAATGTTTGGTGATACGCTAGTGTGGATGGGAATAAATACAGGATTCACTTGTGAATCACAGAAATACTAATTCTATAGAACAATGATTTTATCTTTAATCTGTTATTGCTATTTTGGGGGGTTGTCATATATACAGCTTTGAACCCGAACCAGTATTTGGACCAGTATCCAATGGAATACATGGCTTCAGCCATGCCCAAAGCACACCATTGTGTGATCATATGAATGTGTACGTCCATACAATAAAATGGTTGCTCTGGCTGCAACATCCTCTGGGAATGGGAGATGGCAAATGTGAAAAATGTTTATTGATTAGCCAATGTGAATGATGTCTGTAATATTGTTATGATATACAGGGATCGGGTTCAGTTGGCGCAGAGTATTTGGACCCTTTTGTTAATCTACTGTGAGACTGCATTAGAATTTAGAGCCGACTATTGTCTGAATATTGAAGCTGAGTTGTGAGGGAAAATATTGATTTGTTGTATCTGTTTATTTGATATTTTGAAACCAGTGGATAGTATTATATCAAAACACATGTTACATATTGGTTTTGTAGGTAGGGAAGATATACCGATGAACATATAAAGCTCTAGTGTTTAAACCATGCACACACCTTTGGGCTCCAGCTGAGCAAAATATTAAAGCTTTTGTCAAATTTGAATCTAAATATCACATGCAAGCAAGGCACATTAAGTACATTCACTAACTATATATTCAGAAACTACAGAACTACTGAACTAATATTTCCATAAGGTAGACACAGTTTATGGACAACAACCTTTGGTTTATCGTAATAGCATCATTTCAGTGTAGATCTTACACCGTTGTCAAGCAAGATATTTCATGAATAGTTCTTCACCCATGATGTCAGTAGTGGAAGTGCCAGTATATGCAGCCAAAAATCAGATCACTCAGCACTTAAACTTTAGATGATCTTTTACTTCATGGTCCTGTTCTCATGTTGTTAGAGTTAGTTGTGCTTAAGGTCATTTTGAATAGTGTTGCAGTTATATCATGGTGTGTCAGCTTAATGTTGGAGGAAAGGCTGAAATGTATTTCTCAGATGTTTACCCATTTGATGAAACATATGACCACTGGTATTATACTCCTAAGGGGCGATGGGGTAGCCTAGTTGTTAAAGTGTTCGCTCATCATGCCAAAGACCCGGGTTCTATGTGTGACATGGATACAATGTTTGAAGCCCTTTTCCGGTGATATCACTGGAATATTGCTAAAAGCGGTGTAAAACCATACTCACTCACTCACTCACGTTCCTAAACAAGGAAACATGATCTGTTCGAAATAGGATTCAGTGCTACCCACAGTCATATGTTTCTGGCTTTCCTTGGGAACAAAACTCTACGAAGCAAATGCTATTCCTTAGTTAACTAAACAACCCATGACCCCTCTTGGCAAAGCATCATGCTTATGTTATCTTGGCGCATTAAATATATTTGTTTTGTTTTCCTTCAGTCATACTCATGACACAAGTTAGATCATTATTGAAATGAAACTTATTCAAGAGCGAAAAACAATTTGTAAGACAATGACATGACATTTTTTGCTCTTTTTAAGGACAATGCCATATTAGAATATTCTGATATTATAGTTAACATAATAAATTAATCTTATGTAGTGTTTAACCGATTCTATTTGTCTACAGACAAATGCAGGATGACTTTGAGAACTATCAACAATCGGTGAAAAAGCTAACAGAAGAAACAAGGAAGATCCCACTCCAAGATGAAGGTGCCGTCTGCCAGATCTGCCATAAGACCAAGTTTGCAGATGGTGTTGGGCACAGCTGCCACTACTGCCATCTCAAGTCATGTGCCCGGTGTGGGGGTAGGATGGCACTACGCTCAAACAAGGTGACCCTTTACCTTCATTATCCGTGCAGTTCCACTGAAAAACATTCATCCAATCAATGGTTTTATGTTTATTTGTTTTTCATAATATTGCTTCTGAAAAATCTACTGATGTTTGCATAATGTGGATCAATTAGGGCCCTGTTTGCAGGTGCAGGTTTTACATTATTTCTTTCATAATTATCTTTCTCTCATTCAGAGGTGCAATGTATAATATATTTTCTTAACTTCATATTTTGAAATTTACGTGATAAAAATAATACTTATACTGCACCCAACTCCAGGCACAGAGTACTTGCTCATGGTGCTACAAGCAAAATGAAGTCACTGCAAAAAGTCATAGGCAAATTTTTTTTCTGGGTGTTGCAAATTTTGTGCTGCACTTCCCATTGTAATTAGATACATTCTTCACACAAAATCTTCCAGTTGTTTAAGGATCCAGTGTCAGCACACAATAATATTTACTGAATATTAATACTATTTTTCTATCACATCCACTATCAGAAATTGGTTCAAGATACATGTGTCATATTCTAGAACAATCAGCATCATCTTTCTTGCAGATTTTTGTCAACGTTACCATATCTCACCATGAATTATACTTCCATTCACGTACTGATATGAGTGACATTGATGTCAGAATGCTGACAGTGTATAATTAGGCCACTTTAGATTTGCTGATATTGCTAAAAAAAGAAGCACCCTGTTATCTGAGACATTCATAAATCTTTGCAAACAAAGTTGAGGTTAGCTGAATATGTAATGTCCTTCTGTTTGGGTACCACCATCATTATCCAATGGCCTGACAGATGGCGTCTGCATACTCTTAATATCTCTAGAACAAGGACTTTTTAAAATGTTTTTCAAGAAAAGCTTTATGTTTTCAAATGCTATGGATGATGGAGATAGCTTTTAATGCCTATACAGATGCATCAGCTTTGTAACTATACTGGCTGCTGGAGTACTGTTGGGTGAGCAGTACCATGGTTTTGATGACAGCATGACCACACTGTGCCAGCACCGGAGCCAGAGCTTGTCTTGGTGAGGTCCAGTGGCAGCAGAGTCAGGAGTGGGAGGGAGGGATTGAGGGAGAAAGGGCAATGGCAGATTCCTGGTGCATGCTTACTAAGAAAGCTGGACGATCAATAAATCCATATGACCGTAGGATTGTAGACTGGTTCCAGATAGCTCGGTCTCTTCTCCATGGGAGCATCGCCTTCTTACTAGGGTAATACTGCTACAGCTATGTGTTAGCATCATTTGGTCAGACATTGCAGATTTGGCTTTACAAGTGCAAGACCCTTCTGTTGCAGTCTATGCATGCCAAAATATCCGCACCTCACAAGAATATTAGGTGACAGTGCAATATACAAACCATTGTGTTATAGAATAAGATCAGTCTGAATTTCTTTTCTTTTCTTTTATCATACTTTCAGTTTTTTGGTTATTGTACATACCCAAATAGAAGTGATCTAGGTCTGGCCCTGTTCCTCAAAGCAATCGTAGCTCTAAGATGATCGTAACTCCCATACTTTAACACAGACTTACGACTGTCATAGTGCTACGATCGCTTTGAGGAATGGGGCCCAGGCTTAGAAATGAGTTTTATTTATGAATCATGAAAGGCAAACATAGAAAAAAGAGAGATATACCTATAGAAGCAAACTGTAAATAAATATAAAAAGACTATTCCAGTTATAATTATTCTGTGAAGTAATTGATTTTTAAGGATGACGACTGATAGTGTAGAGATAAACATCAGAGAAAACTGTTCCCATTTACCCTGCCAGGCTGATCTACTCAAGGGAGATAACATCCAATGAAGTGTGTTTCATTATTCAGCCGTGCCAGCAAAGTGTGACTGTTTAGTACACACCAAGCAATACATCTCATTACTTGACTCGACTGTGTCACCCAACCAGGGTATGATGCATACTAGCTATTGATTTCTCTGACGCTGTGATACCCTCATTGTTTATATATTACGGCGCCATCACATACATGTAGCTGTCACTGCTCACTCTAAATAAATGTTTTCTCTCGTATTTTAGGAAGGACCATTAAACTATACACTATGAATTTGGGTCTATTTGGTAATTTTTGAGGCAATATCTGTTTGTGCACAGTAGCTGGGTCTTGGATGAGTTCTGTGACAAATAGTAATTAATCTTTGTAAGTGACAACCATCGTGAAATATTTCAGGTCATGTCATTTAACCAGTTTCAGTTTGGAATAAATAAAATGAAATTTATTAGCATGTGATCGGGGTAACCAAGCAATGCTTCTTTAAACTGAAAAAGTTAGGCCATGCTTTCTAACAAAACTATTGCTCACTGAAAGGCTGATAACAGAATAGGTTGAGCGTCTGTTACAGTATCATAATATCACAGATTTCATACTGTTTTCCACAATAAAATTATAAATCATTAAAGAAGCTGTCACAGATTTATAAATGTATCAACTAGGTGCCATCAGGACCCAAAGACATTTGAAGCAGCAGACCCTGATAAAATTCTTCAGATCCTCATTTTACAAACATGCCTTTTATTGTCACAAATAGATCAACACGTAACATATGTTATATTTGGGATTACACTCTCTTAGTAAAGTACAAATTCTAGTACTTTTGTTGGGTTGAGTCCCATCCGGGATTCGAATTCACACCTTCAGAGTCAGGCACCACCTAATCGCCAGAAAACAAAGTCAGCTGCCTAACCCGCTCAGCCAATGCAACTTCCACAAAAAACGGAAGTCTGGACAACTGGTAGTCTAGACTGCGGACTTTGTGTACCCCTCTGATAAGTGTAAATTGGCACAGCTCCCATGGCCAAAAATTAAATAAATCAACACATATATTTACTGCTAGCATGACCAGTACAAATTTAAAAGTATCCCAGGCATAATCTTCCTGCCACAGGTCTATTGTCGGCAACTTAAATTAAACACTGTTCATGATTATCATAGCAAGTAGAGTCATCAAGTTTTTTTAAGATCAGAAATGAACGAAAGAAACAAAACAACGGGACTCTTCATCAATACCTGTTTGACAAAAGTCATCACCCAGATTCTTGTTCCAGCTTTAAACTGAGTCATGATTGGACCATATAACACTGACAGTGGAATGTTCTAACGTGACTGCATTGATTGATTGATTGTGTATCTCCAGTATAACTCTATCCACCCAACTTTTACAGCCCATTGTAGTACACAACCGCCTAGAAATGCAAATACTGGTAGCCGTTCCAATGAAACTTGTTTAGCATTGACACTAACATAGAAACTCAAAAGCAATTGAAGCAGTGTCTGCTATTATGTGTAGTTCAAAACAAAAAGCAACTGAATGTATTTTGATTATGTAGATAAGTTTTTTTTAAATGCTATGCTGTGTCAGTTTCTATCTCTGTCACCTGTGACACTGGTATGACTGGAGTTGATGACAGAGCCAGGGAAATAAAACCTCGCTCAATAAGTGCGCAGGGTTAGCTTTGTTGATTAGTATTGATCATTGAGACTGTTAATTAGTATTGATCATCAGGACTTTTATCAGTTTTTATAGATCTTTGTTGGTTATAGCATGCTGTTCAGTCTTATCCTATTATCACCCACAGTTAGTCACATTGCAAGGTGGTGATCAGCAAGGATAGCTGTCCATCTCATTCTTGATGAAGGGCTTGAAGATTTGAGGGTATTTTACCTTAACAATAGTACAACTGCAAGAAGCATTTTGACTGTTAAGATCTACCTTGATTTGAGCATCCCAGGGTTAGCAGCTAGGATAGCCCTCAGCAAATTATTGATCATAATAGATTTAAGTCACACCTGTGAAGAAAACATTTTTAAAGTGTGAAATGTTCTTTGTGTCCTTGTTTCCTGTGCCTAAATTTGACATATAAAACTATGGGGTCAGAAGTATTTGAAATGCAAAACCTGATCATTAAGAAGAGATAAGCTTGATAATATACTCAATGTCATACCTCAAGAACAAAAAAAGACAACTTACGAACAAAACATGATTTGGTTGTACTTCTATTTGCTTAGAATAATTTTTCAAAGACATCCTTTTTATTGGTCCAACACATACACACAGAGTGAATATTAAGTTTCCAAGGGATAGTTTGAAAACAAATTGCAGTCCTCTGGTGTAAGTTCTCTTAAATATTCAGCAACATTCCGAACTTGACAACTGTAAATTTTAGCTGAAGCACTCATGTTCAAAATAACCTTCATTGTATTATCTGTATGTGGGCCTGATGCCTTAATACTGAATAAAAATTGATTGAGTTACTATGAACAGGAACTGAGTGTTGTTCTCAGATACAACAAGACAGTCAGGGAGACTTTAGGACACAAGATGATCCACAATAACCATCTTAACATGTTTCTATATTTGTCATATACTTTTTCAGATTCCTTGCTGCCCAGTTCCGGATGAGTTTTGGTTTATTTGAAATAACTATCTAATGTTTCATTTTCTTGAGAGGAATATTTACTGTACATATTTTACAATATTACTGGACGTGGTATTTTCAGCCTGGCGTATTTGCCGCAGGTGCCAGTGCAACGGCAGAACCCAAGGTAAAGGTCAAGGTCCTTTATGTTGTGTAATGCACCTGCGTCATAGGCTGAATGTTAGATTATAATGAAGCTATGGTTTGGTTGGTATTCAGCACTGTGGATGTATGATAACCTAAACAGGACATCAGAAATCAGAACATGTCTGCCCATTGGGTTTATTTTGGATTCATCTGCTATGGTGTTTTTCCTGTAAGAATCTGCAAATATACCTAAATAATCCAAAGATACGTTTCAGTTAAAATCACATTGTTTAGTAATAAAGCTTTGGTTGTTACCTATGAAAAGAATGTTTTTACATATTTTGTAACTTTGAGAAATATTTCTCACCTATAGTCAACAAGATGAACATCAAAGACTAGAACTTTTATATATTTGATATACCTAACAAAAGTACAATTTAAAACCAATGCAATGAACAGAAGGCTGACCATTCCATTCCATTATATATGGTAGAGTAGAATCGTTCATGTGTGTTGGTTTATTTCCAGATTTGTCATACCTATCCCATATTGTTTTCTGCAATGCATGTCCAGGCACTGGCATGAACATGGGATCACCATTTACATCCCAGACAGTCCCCCCTCCCCATTGTGCCTCGCCATGTGTTACCCAAGTCTATACCTTCATTTTACATGTACTCAGCATTATCATTTGTAGGACACTTGTTGTACGGACCGACCATTTGACATTCAGGTTGGTTGGGGAGTTGTATGGAGACTAATTTGTTCTTCAAGAAACATCATCAAAACTAGACATTCTCGTATATTCAGGGGTGGAAATAACTTTAAAATTGATAGTGTACTCCGGTACAGTGGCACATGTAAAGTCACTTGCCCTGATAATTTTTCCACTATACCGACCGTTTTCCTGCTGATTTTTTAAATAAACAACATAATTACCATTGGAAAGTCAACTGGACACCGGTACAGTGTGATATACAAATTTGCTTGCCCGACAGAAATAAACACTGGACTCGGACATCAGGCAATGGGTTATTTCCATCCCTGATATTACATCTATGAATAGAAAAATATTAAAAACTATCTCACAAGAATGTATTTTGTGGCTGAAAAGGTCTTTCCACAGAATGTCAAATGGCTGGTCCTATAGATACTTGTTATTTTCAAACTGTCTTTAATCGCTGACTAAATTTAATTTTCTGGCATGCATGATTTAACAAATTCACCAAGGTCATGTGTTTTGGGCGTTTATGCTTTTCTGTATGATAAACAATACTTAGCATGCCTTTGAACCACTCGTATAACATTTCACATCTTGAAGTTACTAAACCAAGAGATTTGAAGCAGTTTGACTAGTAGTTTTCAGTTATGCACCTTATTTTGTTCCATTGTTAGATGTGTTGTGTTTTTGTAATGAAGAAAAATATTCCTTTGTTGAATAAATATTGGATGATACCCCATGTGTTTGTTTATTTCCAACCATGATTCTCCATTGAATTTTGTGTTCTGAATGAAACTGATTGATATTGTTTGAGTATTATTTTAGTTTCAGCTAGAAGTGGTTTACATTGTGTGTTTAGATACATATTGATATAGATTTTAATCTATTATTTGAAGTTTTGTGTATGTTATGTTTTGCCATTATCACAAGTAGTTAAATGTGTTACCTGTCAAATTGAGGCAGGTTCTCACGTTCATAACATAATAAGTTCATATGTTGGAAGGTCCTATTCATGGCATTCTGTAAAATGAACTTACGGGTGCACTAACGGTATTGTTAAAAAATCCAAGAACTTTTAAATGGTTTGACTGCCCAGTTAACATTTTTTAAATATGATATGTCAGTGCCCTAGAATAACCAGCATCAGTTATGTGACAAAACATTCCATTGGAAATGATGAAATGACAAGTGCGATAATTCCTATTTTAGCTCACCTGAACCAGTAGTTAAACTAAGCTTTTTGTAATATCCCCATCCCTGTACCTTATATACATGTATATGTCAATAGAAGCTGCTAGGATTACATGCTGTAATTTTACTTCTGTCATACTAGAAATGGTGTGACAATAGCTTGTTCAGAGAATTGTAGGTTAAAGTGTTTGTTTGGTATGCCAAAGGTCCAGGTTTGAGTCCCCACATTGGTACAATGTGTGAAGTCCATTTCTGGTGTGCCCGCCGTGATATTGCTGGAATATTGCTAAGAGCAGCGTAAAACCCAACTCACTCACTCACTCAGATAATTATAATTTTAATTTTATTTCTTTTGAGCTATATGTCATGTTTCGGTTCAGGAACCTAGTCTTAATAACAAATATTTTGATCTATATATACCAGAACATTCAGGCAAACTGCAAAGATCACTATTTTTAGTGTTGATATATCTTCCATTGTGTTTTAAAATTGTGTTATAAGAGCCAAGCAATTTATTTTATGTGGTTTAATGTAGAGAGAGGCATCAGTGAATTGAAGGGAATTAAATAGGCAGCACCATAGAGAAGCATAAGCAATTTCTGGAGAATCTATTAAACAAACAAAACTGGTTGGCAGTTGTGAAAAATATGATATAGTTTGTTTTGTAGAAAATATCTAACTGTCAATTTTTGTGTTAATTTTAAATGAATAAATTAGTTGACGGTGCCCCCAGAACCAACCCCAGCCATCTTTATCCTCTAAATAAAATGCTTGCTCTCTAAAGATGTGTTGAAAACCTGAAGACACTATGCTGGATGGTTACATGATAAAATTGTATGACTTTTTTATTTTTTATTGGTATCATGTGGAACACATCAGAAAATGATAATTCTATGTAAGAATTGTAACAACTGTTACAACTTCTAGCAGCAAGGGGTGGTTGGGTGGTCTAAGCAATTGCTGGATGCGATGAAAGCCCACTTTCTATTTCTCACATGGGTACAATGTGAAGCCCATTTCTGATATTCCTTGCCATTATATTGCTGGAATACTGCAAGAAATGGCATAAGTCCATACTCACTCACTCGGCAAATTCATGCAACAAAATTTGGGACTGTATTCCATAATTTATCTGCCCAATGTTTCATATAACCTGCACTGCAAAACAAGTACAAACAAAGTACATCTGCCGTCACAATCGAGAAACTTGAGCATGATAAGTGTTCACATTAGTTACAAAATGTTAATGACATGGAAAATGTCTTGCCATCAGAAATAGAGTGTTATTCCACAATTGCCTTCATAAATAGAGTGTTATTTCACAATTTCCATTAGAAATAGAGTGTCATTTCACAATTGCCATCAGAAACAGAGTGTTATTCCATAATTGCCATCAGAAATTGTGTTATTCCACAATTGCCATCAGAAATAGTGTTATTCCACAATTGCCATCAGAAATAGTGTTATTCCACAATTGCCATCAGAAATAGTGTTATTCCACAATTGCCATCAGAAATAGTGTTATGCCATCAGAAATAGTGTTATTCCACAATTGCCATCAGAAATAGTGTTATTCCACAATTGCCATCAGAAATAGGGTGTTATTCCATGGGGAATAGGACAAGAGCAGAAAGTGTATATCTATTAAGTTTATCATACAGCACTTGTTGAACTATTTCATTCCCCAGGGAGCAGCAGGTGCCCTCGATATAATTACACAACAGATGGAAAATAAATATGTTGATAGTTGAATAAGTAAAACAAGGTGACAAGGTTTTTGATTGCACATGTTTACAAATCCGAAAAAGTGTGTGATATAAATGCATGACATTAGCATTTTGATTAACTCTTTCATGAAACCGTTTATGACTAGTTTATAAATCTGCATGGGCAAGCTGACGTCAGCCTCAGGTCGTAGTTTGACATTTGTGGAGTCTGTGAATCAGCTGGAGCAACTGTGACTCACAAGGATAATTGCAGCCAAACAATTTAGGAAAATGAGGATTTAATCATACATTAACAATGTAGGGATAATTAGTCTTAGAAAATGTGACCTATTTGTGGTGTAGGTTATGCATGTGTATTACTTTGCATGGATGGCGTGAATGTTATAGTTAATCCCTGCTCACCCCAGTTGAACTGTTAAATGGTGATGTTGGATAAAGTATGTTCAGCAAACCATAATGGTTGATGCCTAAAGCTACAAACCATAGTGTAGTTAAGTTTTCGTCTTAAGTTTATTTGTCTAACTTTCCTGTTTAATGTAATGAAGAACTTAAACATATTGTGCAGATTAAAAGTAAAACTCATTTGTGTAGATACAATTATTCACAATAATTCCACAAAGAATATATATCTCTATTCTGGCACCTATACAATGACAAGTTTTTGTATACTTTGTGTATATATGTTGTATGTTTCCCATTTTCCCAATGCTGTATGCAATGAAAAATATTTGTCTGTCAACTTGCGGTGATGACGTTTTGTAACTGGTACTCTGCATCATACAGTGATGCAAAATGTTGCTCAGCTATATTGTACTCGAACATTTATCTAACTATATTTCTATGTTAACACAGCGCAATATTACAGCTTCATAGCACAACTCTGTCCATTTCATTGTCTGTAAAAAGGATTATATCAAAGGATGGCTTAAATTTATACCTGGAATAAATTACATTAAAGGATGACTTAAATCTATACCTGGAATAAATATGTTAATCTGGTTCACTTACAATTATTATTTTCACTTGCAATGTTACGGGCACATTTGTATGATTGAAAAAATCAATTTTGCAAATCGTACTTGAGAATCACACTCATACAAAGATTAAAAGTAGTAGTAGGTGTAGATCCAGCCAGACAGTGTCTGATTCACTTTGTGTTGTGGGTGTTTGGTGTGCGTCTAAGTGTGCTCTCTTTCCTCAGACAATGAAATGGACTGAGCTCAGATTGCAGCCAGATATGCAGGTAGGTCACCACCTTCATCACAGTTTCCCTCCATACATCCCTGCTTCCAAACATACCACAAAGTGAAACCACTGATGTACTTGCAGCGTCTGTATGATAAACAGACACGAGTGTGTTGTGATATCGTAGATGTCAGATATTCGGATTAACACTGGCATAACATGGGCCTTTGGTCATATCTCCTTATGATTTAAATTGATTCCTTACACAGTAAAATAACATTAGAAACCATGTATTAATATAATGCTTGAGTATTTATCCTAAATATAATGTAGTGTCAAAATGATTTGAATTAATATTTGTGTACAGATAATTCACACATTCAAAAACATCTATCTAAGTTTATCTTAAGTGTTAGGTTACATTTTATTTAGCAGGTAGACATTTCACATGAAATAGTTTCTCATTTGTTTATCATATCGTGATACCAAGTTTATGGAATTTGTTGAGGATTATCCATCCTAATTGGTGTATTGATTCAACTGGTTACCAGTGTGATATGTAAGTTCTTACATTCCTATATGATATCATGAAGATGAAGTTTGTTTGGTTTCAGTTAATGACTGCAAACAATCATAATACTTAAAAAATAGTATTTTAAGTTGTACTACCAAGTTTATTATGGTTGGTCTTTTTTTTCTTATTTTTCTAGTTCCATCTCTCATCATTGTGTATTTTAACACCTGATTTATTAGGTTCATTCTTTGAAAAGATACTGTAATTTCATCTTCCAGAAATTAAAACTAAAAATATTATGATAATAAAATAATAGTATAAATTGAAATTATACAGTACTTTGTTTGCAAAGTTTTCAACACAACTCTAAATACAAATGATGAGGTGTATTTATATGTCAGAATACATTACCTGAAGAATTGAGCGTGAAATATATTTAGGTTTTAAGAAAAAAACAATTTGATAGTTGAAGTATCTCTATTAAATGTATATATAAACATGAGGTAATGTAATATGTCTCACTAGTTTGAACAATATACTGCTCTTCTGTTGAAACTAAGTCAACTGGTGCCATAAACAGTAACTGTCTTCTGGACAGTAGAGTAACACATGTTGAAAATGTCATATGAGTATAAAAAGTGAATTCATTTTTGCACTTTTCAACATGTTCTAAATTTTAAACTGAAAATGTTTACAAGTTGCCAGTATTAATACATTGCTGTAATATTGAAAAGACAATAGTAGTTAATGAGTAAACTAAGTAGTTGTATACTTACTCATCATGTGATAGTGTCATGCATTGCAAAGAGAAGGCAATGTGGATTTCATAAAACCACTGTCATGAAAGAATTACACTATCTGCAGGTAGGGTTACCATTCTTTTTTGCACACATTTGTAATGGAATATACCTATAGTCAGTAATCAGAATGTGGAAGGCTAATTTGTGTAGGCTTTCATATGAAATCTGTCCAATAAATGCATGGAGTGATGATGGCACACCTGATCCAAAAACAAACAAATGTAGAAGCCTAGTCTTGTGTATAATACCTAGTCAGTCAGAATACATTATGTATTTTCAAGCCACAAAGTGAGGAGGACACAGAAAAGCATAAGTGAGCTGTATTGTCATGGCTTATAAGCATCTAATTAAACATGCAATCTTAACTGCTCATGGAATTAAATTTTACTGAAAATTTTAGTAATCACTTCCAATAAGTTATAAGGAATCTTGTTCTTAATGACAATCCTTTATAAAGCATGATATCCCTTTGGTATCAGAGTTACTCTACTTCTGAATTACTAAGTGCTATTACAGTCAGCATATACAGCACATGATGAAGTTGTCAGTATTTCCATTGGATTAGAAAATGAACCTAGACATGGCATGCTGCTCACACCATTAACCATTGGTTAAAGAAAGTAAGAGTTGTCCAAGTGAAATTGAAGGAAGCATCATGCACATTGAGTTGGCTTCATAACAAGCTAATTTTCTGTACTATTGAATATTTTTCAAATGAAAAGATGCTCTAACAAGAAGAGAAGTCATGTCCATGCCACATGATACTTGAGGTCTGGAAGCCTGTAAGTGGCCTCACTGTTGACCTTTACGTGTGAGCAATTGTATTGTATCCAACACCGCTCACCCCTATGTAATTTGTCAGCACCAACAGTTTCAGTTTCTTGTATGTAAATGTCAGTGCTAAATTATTGTTTCCAGTTGATTTAGGTCAATCAGAATTTCATTCAGAAACATTAAAAACCTGTCAGTTTTATTTCTACCTTGAGGACCCTTTACATATTCTTCAACTTCTTCCCATTGAATCCTTTTAAGTTGAATTACAGATAAATTATAGGATGACCTAATATTTTTATGATAATGATAAATAAAGGAATAACATTGGCATCAAACAGTTCACAGATAAATATTATTGTTTATTTTCTATTCATAAGATAATGCAAACAAACAAAAATGTTTTCCTTTCCTTTTTTATCCATCTTTACTATGTTTACAGAAGTAATAAATAATTATCTCACTGAAATACCTGGTTTATACCTGTTCATATACTTAATGGGACAATGAGTGCTGAATTATTTCTAATTGTTTTGAATCTGTTGATAGTAGTTCTAGGATACAAATAAAAAAAGGTTTGGTTCCCATCAAATCATATGTAGTCATATACCTACATCAAGTCATCTGTAGAAACATGTTCTTCCATAATAACTTCTCTCTGTGGTAATGAAATGACAGTACCTGATGTATGTAATGTATGTGTGAAAGAGATACCAGTTAGGTGTCTACAGCGTCAGTGACAGCATGTTGCAGTACTGATACACACATGCACATACGCATTTAGTCACAGCTAACATGCAGGAGCTTTCAACTAGCAGCAGCCATCCTGCGTCGCCATCAGGGTAAGCAGGGACTTTGCAGAATCCTTCAACATGTTTTTAGTTGTGATGTCATAAATGTGTCTTCTCGATTCTGTGAATTTGTACTTGGAACACAACCTGGAACACTTCCTTGGTGGTTTCTCCTGTGCGCCAGTGACTATGGACATTACCACTGCTGTTGAAGATACTGTAGCCTTCAAGGAAACCAATTCATCGTTTTGACATATAAATATATATGTTAAGGATGAAGGCGTAAACCTGCCTCCAGAATATTTGTATTGAAGAAAGGTTTACCCATGAACCATGTAAAGAATTGCCTACATAGTTTTTATTGGATGCTGCTTTGTTGAAATATGTCTTTGATCTTCATTTATGTCACTGACATGAAACGTTTCAGTTTTCGTTTCAGATTCAATTATGGCTGTGAATTCCAGCTGAGAGTGTCAAATGATTTGACTTGAAGATGCATGATTTAATTTGTTAATATTTACCTGTTTTCAGATTATATGGGCATGCAATTTATGTCGGAAGAAACAAGAACTGCTTGCAAAGACAGGTGCTTGGTATCATGGTGGCATGGCAAGACCAGTGTCTTTAGACATGCCAGAACAAACTCCTGCATGTGAAAACTTATTAACAAAAAGTCTAGACACTACTAGCCCGCCGAATGAAAAGAAACAAAAGATGCTTCAACAAGATGGTAGTCAAGGATCTGAGAAGGAAAATATAGAAAAATCGAATTTTAGTCGAACAGGTAGTTTACAAGGGAGAGAACTCAAGAGACAGTATTCAATGTCAGATGCACTAACAGAGAAGAAATCAGCTGATCTGACAAATACCCCGGCTGGACCCGGGTCTTCTAGTGATAATAGAATAATCTCAGAACAGGAAAAGTTACGAGAACATGGACAGATAGAAAGAGGTAGGGGGAAAGAACGCAGCCCTGCAAGACACAGATTTCACAGTGAGTCCAGGTTGTCGGAGACTGATAGAAAATATAGGGATGGCTATGCAGATAATCATCACGTGGAGCGTGATCGTCATGGTGATAGGGGACAGAGGTCTAGAGAAGTGTCTTCTGATAGGGCATTAACTGGGCAACGTGGGAAGGAACATCGAGAACCAACAGAAAGAAGAGGAGAGAGACATAGGTATGTCTAATACTGATTAGTTTCTGTAAATCATGTGACACACTGGCAAGTCATATGAACATTATGGACAGCTGCTTACATTACATTTTTTAAAGGTTTGCAGTCATGAAGATAGATGTCAGTTATGGTATCTTTAGAATATGCCACAGGCTGGCTAATCAAATGTAAATTCACAGTATAGTGCTATTGATCATTTGGTTGAAGGTACAAAATATTTGAGGAAATCTTCCAAGATATGTGTTCATTTATATTAAAAGGATCATTTGGAAATGTCTCTGGGATGATTCCTTCATTTTAGGGATGGAAGAGAACTGGTGTCTCAAGCTTCACATGAGAGACGACATAATGAGCGCCAGGATGATCGAGACTTGGACAGACGGAAAGACAGTGGCAAGGACAGACGGAAAGATGGACAAACTGAACGTTATCGACAATCACCTGTGAATGGACGTCGAGAGTATCCCGAAAAGGATTACCGCGGAACACATGGTGATTCACAGGATATACGTGAGGGGCGAGGTGTAGATGCTCGTGATGGACGCATAACTGAAAATGAGGATGTGCGGGTTGAAAGACGTGGAAGCAGCAGGCATCATCGGGAACGTAGCATGAAGGACCAACGAAGGTCACCCAGTCGAGAACGAGGGGACCGTTATAATAAAGAATTAGAGATTGAAAATTTTAAAGATTCTCAAGTGCCAAGGCATAGAATTTTAATTGATCATGCAAGTGATACACAATTAACAGCCTCAGAGGAAGGTCGAGATGGGGACCGATTCTGTGATAAGAAACAACATCTAGATCCTAGCTCTGCTGCTTCACGGACAACACGGAATAATCGTAAAAAGTTAGAAAGTATGTTACGTAATGATTCTCTGAGTTCAGATCCATCTGACTGTGTTCGCCCACCACCACCCAAACCTCACAAACACAAGCGAGGTAAGAAGCAGCGGCAACACTCACTGAGCAGCTCTGATGATGAGATACGATCAACACCAGAGTGTTCCAGCTGTGAGGAGCAAGAAATTGAAAGTGAAAGTGTCAGCGAAAAAGGTAAAAATCAAAATCATGTAAAATATTATTTTTATTAATATCAGATTAATGAAATGTGGTTGTTTCAGTAATTAACTAAATCACTTACACTGAAACCCAGGGACAATGTTACTGAATAATCTTTTATCCGCTTAGACTGTTATCATATATTTATCATATAATTTTGTTTACTCGTAACAATCATCATACCATTCCTGTCAGTGATTTTGATGTAACAATGAGGATATGTCTTCTTTTATCAATAATGTAAGGAATTGGTAAGTTCTTGCTTATCTCCATACAAAACCAGTTGATTGTTGACAAAGTTGTTCAGAAACACAAACATCAACATGGTATTTTGGGTTTCTTTGTAAGCGGTAAATATGTTCAATATGACATTTCAGCTGTCTCTGATGTTTTAAGAACAACCATTAATCCGATAAGATCATACAGTAGTATAAAATCCATCTGACAAATGGCATGTCAACCAAATTGCAACACAATTGTTTAATCATTTAAAGTGTGATTCCATTACAGATGGACAAAAGTTCACTTGTCATCTAATGATTTTAGATTTGATAAGCATATTGTAAGGAATAGGTTTTAAACATATGTCACTGCAAATGTCAAAGTTCTTTCAAGGTACTAATGTAGGATGGAGTCAACTAATTGTTATGGAGAATGAGATGAAACACTTTGAAATGTAAAGATTATAAAGGCAGGAAACTGACATGAATTTTGTTGAAACCTGTAACAGATTAAATGTAACAAAACAAATGTCAGAAATGTTTGTTGACAGTCATCTGTGTAACCTATGATAAATAGGTCACTGCTCCTGTGGCCAGGGAAAATACTCAATCTAATTATGTTGTCCAACAGAGAATTGTCTGAGTTTCATCGTTTTTTAATTGTATGGTACAACGTTTCAGGACTTGTTCTGGCTCCATCATCAGGTAGAACTAAAGAACAGTTACTGTCCTTTAGTTCTACCTGATGATGGAGCCAGAACAAGTCCTGAAACGTTGTACCATACAATAAAAAGAAGATGACTAAAGAACTAAAGAACAGTAACAAGGCCCCATCATCAGGTAGAACTAAAGAAAAGTAACAAAGACCCATTATCAGGTAGAACTAAAGAACAGTAACAAAGCCCCATCATCAGGTAGAACTAAAGAACAGTAACAAAGCCCCATTATCAGGTAGAACTAAAGAACAGTAACAAAGCCCCATTATCAGGTAGAACTAAAGAACAGTAACAAAGCCCCATTATCAGGTAGAACTAAAGAACAGTAACAAAGCCCCATCATCAGGTAGAACTAAAGAACAGTAACAAAGCCCCATTATCAGGTAGAACTAAAGAACAGTAACAAAGCCCCATCATCAGGTAGAACTAAAGAACAGTAACAAAGCCCCATCATCAGGTAGAACTAAAGAACAGTAACAAAGCCCCATCATCAGGTAGAACTAAAGAACAGTAACAAAGCCCCATCATCAGGTAGAACTAAAGAACAGTAACAAAGCCCCATCATCAGGTAGAACTAAAGAACAGTAACAAGGCCCCATCATCAGGTAGAACTAAAGAACAGTAACAAAGCCCCATCATCAGGTAGGTAACAAAGCCCCATCATCAGGTAGAACCAAGGAACAGTAACAAAGCCCCATTATCAGGTAGAACTAAAGAACAGTAACAAAGCCCCATCATCAGGTAGAACTAAAGAACAGTAACAAAGCCCCATCATCAGGTAGAACTAAAGAACAGTAACAAAGCCCCATCATCAGGTAGAACTAAAGAACAGTAACAAAGCCCCATCATCAGGTAGAACTAAAGAACAGTCTACCTGATGATGGAGCCAGAACAAGTCCTGAAACGTTGTACCATACAATTAAAAAGAAGATGAAACCCAGAAAATTTTCTGTTCACTAAATAGCATATTCTAAATTGCCAATCAAACATCTATGTTGTCCAAATTGAGCTGTGAACCTGTTGAATTCAACTCATCTACCCCTCATTATCTGTTGAATTAATGTACGGATAATGATGCATGACATTGCTAATGAAATAGATTGTACCTTGCCATATGTTGTGTTTCCAAGAACTAGTTTAATCTTATTTCAAACCTATGCCAATTCACTGCAATAAGATGAAACCATATTGGTCAATAAATGATCCAATTAAAGTAGTTCCTATAGATGAGTTGATGCTTCACTTTAAAGCAAAGAAACATCAAATTCTGTGGTCTTTCGGAACATGTCAGTATATACGCGAAATCATATTGACTTGACTTGAAAGATGGATAATCATCAAAACACATTTGAAAAGAAGTGATGTTTTAGTTGGTGTTCAAGATCTACAACCAATCTCAGGTCCTTTAAATAGCAAACTTCTTTCTGGTTTCATTTCAAAAGTAGCAGGGCTCCAGATAATTATTCAACATCAGGAGTACGTACTCCTTATTTTTTCAATATAGGAGTACTCGAAAACCTTAAGAGTACATTTAGAGTACTGAATGGAATTTAATGGAGTATCAGTAATCTTGTGTTTCGTTTCATATATGCACCACAACATTGCTAGTCTTGTGAAAACAGGTCAATAAAAAATTAAACAAATACTTTTTCAGATAAATACGTCTGTACATGATTCTAAGATCCTACACTATTACCGTGGTGCATATCGGCTATGTTTTCTAAATTATTTCCTACCGTATCGTGCATATTTGTTATCTGTACATATGCCGATACGGCCCTTATCTGGAGCCCTGAAGTAGTATCTTTAATTGGTTTCACATGTCAAGATTTGTATTATAAATTAACCTAAATAAATGTGTAAGAAGTTTGGTGAAGCATCTACAAGGGTAAGACATGTATATTTGGTTCTTGGGCACTTGTCAGATTGGGCATAAACTTTGTCTGCTTCAGTTTTGTCTAAAGAATTAAAACAGTGGAGTGTATAGCTTGATACTTAGAAACAGAACATTCCAACAAAAATCAGTGACTAAGAAACGGTGGTTCCACTTTGTTCATCCTTTGAAAGGTTCATTCAGTGTATTTCATTAAAACCCAAATGTAGTTCACAGATGATAAATAGGGCAATGCAAACCAGAATTTATTCATTGTCACTCCAGATGTTACATGGAAATAAGACACTGTTTAAATATTAAAAAGTACTTTTGATAATTACACAGCACCAAAGTATGAATTTTATTAAAACAATTGCTTTGGGATAGAATATTATAGACCTAGATAATGTTGCAGCCAGTCACAAGTGTAAAGCTTAACTATCACTGTTGCTTGGGTCTATACTGTTTTATATCAGATGCAGTCAGTATGACATTTATTTCCTGCCAATATGTGTGTTAATGTATATAGCAATTATGTATATGATAATTGTTGGCTTTTTATTTAATTGTATAATTGGAAACCATTCATTCTTAGTCATTCTGCCTGAATCTGTGAAGTACCATAAAGTCATAAGATTTCTCAAATGAAAACATATCAGATAAATACGAAAATAACAGATTCACTGTCGGCATTGAGAGTGTGAATATATGTCACACATAAAAAAATTGATACTGCTCTGAATTGTAAAGATTTGGCCAAACTGTTAGCACAATTACTATGATAATGTGTTACATTTATTACGACTCATGATAATATATCTGCTTGAATATATGTCAAATATGCAGTGTTTGTACAGTCTTCCTATGAAAAACCCTTTGCATAATCTGCCGTTTATTATGTACTCATAGAATTTGTAGTCTTATAAACGAAAAAACAGTAATATGGAATGTGTACAGAATAAAAATACCTTCAACATTTGGCTTTATGGTGGAATATTTTATAAATTTGATGTTTTGATTTTGCTGAAAAAAAATCTCATTTGAAAAATTGACATTTGACTTAAAGCAGATCATGAATATGATGAAGGTAATGACTTAAGAAGTGAATGGTTTCTGTCGCTATATGGTTCTGCCAAGCAAAATGCTTTGACATTTAAATTAAAGCAGCTGGCATGTATAATATCTACATTTGATTAAATAGACTCCAATAAACTTTGACAGAAATGGGTCTGTCAGTATTGACCAATGATTTATTGCATTAGGCTCACAGAATTCAGTCCACATAGGACATCTGAAGGGCTTCAAAGCATTTTGCCATGAAACTTAAACAGCCAAGGTTTGAAACTGGAGTGATTACTTTTCTGTAATGAGTGCCATATCACTTATATAGAGTATAATGAGTGATTTATTGTAGGTTTCTATCTATGTTATATGTACATAACTAGGACCCTTATCAAATATGTACATTTTGTAGAATTCTGTTCAAAATTCAACAGAAACAATTAAGTAATTGTAGGCTTTGTAATAAGAATGATTGATACCATAAACATGATATTCTAGGAGTCACTGCTTCCCTTGGAAAAGTCCTTTTGATAGCATTTTCATTTTATAGTGATATATAGATTTCTCTTCATTACATCTCATAAAGATGTTAAAATTCATAAACTATCCAATTTTTGTCAAGTTGAATCATTTTATTGGCAACAATTTACTTTTCACTTCATGCATTAAAAAAATCTTCATCATTATTGCCATCAAAAAGTATGTTTTGCAGATACTTTTCCCCACAAGTATACTGTAGATTGGCTGATACACACATCAAGGATTAACGAGATTTCATAAGGAGATCTTTTTTTTTTTCAAAGAATTACGAATTCAATTTTTGTAGTGCTCGCTACCTTGAACAAAGTAGCAAACTTGCTGAAACGTTTTATGATGTTACCATGGACCAAAGAGCAAAGTATTCATTGTAAGTCTTTTCTACCAGTTTCAATCCTTGAATACACTTTAACTGGCTTTTGTTTTCCTTTCATCTTGCAATGGTGGCTGGTATAGGCTCCCGACTGCGATCACATAAATGTAAGAATATAACTGTTGCCGTCCTACTGAACAATATCATGACTACCCTCAACACAAGATAACTTTGACTGTTCGCAAAACAGGGCTTATTTGTGTGAAAAGATCAGAATATATTGGAAACTTAACTCTAATACATGCCAACATGGCAAAAGACATTTAACACATTGGAGGCAAAATGCAATGAACTGAATATTCAGGTCATGATCATGGTAAACATTGCTATTTGTTTTGAGTTGAAAAAAACATTTTTGTGAATCTTTTTACATATATTCTTGAAATTGATAAATGCTTTCAGAAATAATGTTATATTTTGTTTATATTGAGGAGACTTATAAATTTGAAATAGCATAAAATTATTGGAAGCTGATATTTTTACCTTTCTCCTTTTGTTCCTGTTTGTGGGTATAGTTTATATTTCAGATCTTTCATAGTTGAAGTGTTAACATAGTTTGAAAAATTATATAGTTTAATAGATACTGTTTCTTTAATAATTTTCTTTAATTTTTGTGCAAGTTTGGCACAGTAGTTACATATTTTCATTGATTCAGACATATTTACTTTCATATGTTTCTTCCAATTTTGTATTTGTCTTCAGCAATTTGTTAAAGGTGTAGGTCATAATTTCTTATTCTATTTTTATCCCTAAACTTTTTTTGATACATGAAAATAGTTTTTGACTAAATCGATATTGAAAATATATTACATTGAAGGCTGTTTTCATTTCTGAATTGAATATTTTTATGTTTATTATTTGTTAGGTGAAATGACTTCAAACTTTGAAGATGATCTGTTACTATGACATATATAACATGATAAAAGAAACCTAATTATGCAGGCATCAAGGAAACAACTCATACGGAATTCTTCTCTCCATTTCGAAATAAAACACACTTTCACACATGATTTAAAGATTTGATTAAAGCTGAATAGTTCATTACCAGCCTGAAATTCCAATGATAATGTCTTGTCCTTTACATTAATGAGATGTACATTTCCATCAAGAAATTGTAAGCCCTAGTTTTTCTGATGTATCAATTTTGACTTGTGTTACTGGGTGTCGAACAAGTGGCTACCAGATATGTTGCAATTGTTAGGTCATTTTATCCTTATACCTTGTATAAGCCATCAAATGTTACTGAGTGTAGTATGATGCGTGTGTCAGACTGTTCCCACTGGGTGTGTTCAAACAGTATGAGTGTGTATGGTAATGACCACATTTCAGACAATACCTACATATTTCATCAGATCACATATACCATCAAGCAGTTTACAAGTTTGTTGTTTATTGCTTCCTGCATGGAAAAATCTCATTTGTCAGTTACGTTTAGGATGGAGATCATTGATTGCATCTGGACAGTTTGATACACAGCGTTATACTGCTTCTTGGCATTTCCGCCCACTCAGTAATATATGTGAGATTTGTAAGACAGCATAGAGTTCCCTCGGTTTCTGATGTTAGTTGACTTTAAAGAATTTCTTCTTTTCAGAGAAGGGTCATACAAATCTCACATATTTATGATACCTTAATGAAAGACCAGCCAACAATTTCAGCAACCTGGTAGCTTTACTGATTCATAATGATGTTGCAAGCTGTTATGTGTCATTTTAGTGGTGACATATTTAGTTGTATGATTTCTAGTCTTGTCTTGCTGAAGTAGATAGAGACACAGAACACAGTACTCCTCAACCTGGAGAGACAATCTGGAGTATGCTGATTCAAAGTGTACCTGATGAAGGATCTGCTTCAGTCTCAAACTATTTCTAACATTGATCTTTTCCATGAAGAGTACTGTGTTCTTGTTGTTTATTAGTGTGAAAAGTTTCAAATATGCAAGCCAAGCTTGATTCACTTAGAATTCCTGCATTTAGTACAAACTTAAAAATCAAGATGACTGTAAATATTTCAGTTGGTTAAACATACTCTCTGTCTTATACTTATTATCATCCATTTAATATCAGTAATAGATGAAATGATAATATCCCCAATAATATGAAATTACACAATAGCTCTGTGTATTAATAATTTTTTGATGTAATAATAGGAGATATAAAGTATAAAATCGATTTCAATAGAAACTGAGCAAAAAGTGAGTGGAAGGCTCCATCAAATTAACTGAATAGTCATTATCATCTTTCCACATGAACTGTGTCCAATATTTTTACACTGTAATACATGCACAAATGTCAGAAAACAGCACCCTTATTTTGTGCATTTGTTCAATATTTTGTATGTTTATAATGAAATAGGTGTGGCAGACTAGAAGCAGTGCACATGTAGAAACACAAATTACGCCGCACACTTCTTTCCACAATCAGTGTTTTACATACGAGATTTTAAGCAGCTAATTGATGTAAATATACTTTCTTGTCTTCAAAATCATGCAGTTGGATATTTTAGAGAATTTCTGAGAAAAAAGGAAATCATGGCAATGCCACTTCATATGTCTTCAACAGAAATGCTAAATCATTTTACATGTTATTTGTTTAACATACAATACTTTCCTGCTAGTAAGACAAATTATCAAAGACATTTACTGTAAAAAAATTCTTTTTATGCAGTGATAGTAGATTGGATTCTACTAGGTACAATTTATAAATTTGATGCAAATATTGCACCTAGAAAAGAAGCAGCAAGAATTTTTAAATTTTAAAAATAGTTTTGATATAGGATGTTATATGAGAGCAATATTTCAGGTAGATTATTTTGTTTCACTAAAATACTAAACATATGTACCAGTTTGGGCACAAGGATAGTGTGGATAGATTTGTCGCATGTGATATATATATTACAGTGTTGCTCCACTTACCATCATATTTGCATGTGCATTGATCATTAATTTTGCAAATAATACTGTTCTATTTCAGACAATCAAGATAATGATTTTTCTTTGATTTTATGTATAGGAGAGGAAAACGTTACATGTTAAATACAAATCAATAGTTTATATGTTTGATTGATAGAGAATTAGTGAAAACAGTATAATTAATTTATCATAAAGAAACTAATAGTTTGTTGACCACTGAATGGAATTCCCGAAGATTATCTTCAAAATAGTTGTATGGTGGATATGTCTTTACATTTAATTCATATTAAGCAGGGATTAATGGGAAAGAAAATTCCTGAAACATTTATCTTCGGATTTGATCCTCCTCATCTTTTCTCACCATGAATTGCATTCCACAGGCTTAAGGATGAGAAAGAATGATTTTGATTTTTGAATCTAGGGGAGTATGAGGTTGGAGAGGAACAGTGGAAACGGGATGAAATCCTGGCTGCCAAAATCAAAAAATTTCTGTCGGTGAGTTATGAAGAATGTTTGTTGTTGACTGAGCCCATCCCTCCAAGTCACGGCACTCTAACAGCTTTCACCTCCAAAACACAAGCATGTCAGGCAAAGGGACTTAGAAACTGCCATATCAAGACTTTGAATTGTTTCCCTGTAGCAATTCTTACATGATTTTAAGCAACTACCCCAAAGTCATGTAATGCTGACCTAGAGAGATGAGTGTTAATAGAGGGCATAATTAGATCCTATGTAAGAAGGGGAGAAGGACAAGCTGTGTTTTGGTGATGAAAGGTGTCAGACCTTTCAGCAGCTGTGGTAGATGACCAAGCCGGGCAGGGGTGGATGGTGCCTCACATTTAGTACCGGTAAGCACTCCAGCTTACTCAATGTTTTCTCGTCTTTCTAGGGGATCTAGAAAGCACCAGCGATCGGTCCTCTCTTAGGTCCACCCGGCCTTCAAATAGACATGCTAAAATGTTGCAATTTGAGCAAGGGCTAGGCGGCTCCCTCGATGATGAGAGCGGGTCGTCGGACCGTCAAATAAAAGATTCGGGCATAGACACTGGGTTTTCCAGTAGTAATCAAACTTTGAATGAAGACCTTCTTAACTTGCTTAAGGTACAAGCACTATAGGCAGTTTCTCTATTCTTTGCTTTTATTTGTTCTCTGCTTTGTATTTTTGGCGATGTTTCTTTGAACTTTCCCTTTTTCTTCACTTGTTTGTTCTTCCAATGCTTGCATTGAAGTAATCTTATTTTTAAGAAATGAATTACTATATCTTGCAGAGTGTTTTTATTTTTAATTCCCTCTTACTTGATTATTAAATATATTTATGTTTTAGGGGTATTTTTGTGTGTTTTATCAAATGCTGGAATATTTTCGTTTGTATCCTGGATCAGAGAAATGTTTCTTTCTACAAATAGTAACTCTTTCTGTCATTGAAAGCAGAAGCTAATGTTGGATGTGTATTTCTTCCTATTCAGTTTCCAAAGAATTAGGCAATGAGTTTGCCTTTTATGTTAACTTTGCCAAGTTATCAAATTGACATTAAGTGAACATTTGATAGGTTGAATGTCACTTTGATGTCCATCATGGCGATTTGAAATAAGTATTTTTCTTGTGTTAAATACATTAAAATTCATACACTACCTTTTGACAGTTTCTTTTCCAAAATTAGTAGGCATGACAGTTGTACCAAAATAATTATTTGTAAAGTTTTCATCATTTGTAATTTTCTTTTAAGTATACATTACATTCATTCAAAATTGGATAAATTGACATAAACAATAATATATGTTGTATTTACTAACTTATGATGTATTTTTTTAAAGTATCAATACATATTCTTTTTGCACTTATTAGCGACAATAAAAATAGGTGAATAGGTGGAAAGTAGGATATCACTGGGAGGCACTTTGCACATATAATGTCAAGAAGGTGTATTTATTATTTGAAAAATGTGAAGTCTTTTATTTGTAATAACAATAGCAAATGTTGATCCTATCTTTTCCATGCAAAGGATAATGTTTCGTTAATAAATAAGAATAAGAAATTTCTTGTGTGGAAGGTTCTTACTTAAATATAATCATGAACAGAGCTGTGCATGAAGAGCATGTGATACCTATGGTGTATAGGATGTTAATGTGTTGAAACAGACTTGTGTGTGTTTACCCCTATGATGCTGTGCTCAGTGCAAGGCTTTACACTTTACGTGTGAATAAACATGTGTCAGTGTCACTTGTGAATGCAAGACGTATACCCTTTAATAACTGCAGAGTCAAGGATGTAAATTAGTACATGTGCCTTTTTACTGCCTTAAATTTATAAATTTTCACTGAAACAAATTCATTAGTTTCTTAGAAGAAAGCATGTGTCATATGAATATATAAAAACGATTTGATTTTATTCTACATGGAGAGTGCTATATCATCTCACACCATCATCATGAAAATGTAAATGTATTTGCCAGCACAGTTGTCATAATATTTCTTAGTTTGAAATTTTGGTTTGCTTTGGTTTTTCGAGAATCAAAGAATTGGAGGAAGGGGTAAACAGACATACATCTGTTTCAATCTGAACTTACTTGGCTGACCTGAAATAGGAATGATAGATCAGTTACTTTGTGAAAAGATGCTTTAGAGATGTGAAATAGCTCTTCATGTCTGCGTCGTCACTCTCCTGTCTTCCCCCACTATGACAATGGTGATGGGGTGGTGGACCTGTCTTGTTTAAAATTTTCAACTGTAATTAAACTATGTAAACATTGTTGTCAAATTTACCTTTCTCCATCAATTGGCTGCATTAAAATGCACGAGAACCAAAAGGCACTGCTCTTAACATAAGATATGGACATATAGGTTGAAATATATCTACTTACTTTGGCATGTTCCTATTGCAGAAAATACTAAATTCATTATAGAGAAAATGATATTTTGCTCATTTACTAAATCTGTAATGAATATTAAACCTTCATAACAAGCAGAAGCTATTTTTTTGAAAAGGGGCAGTAGGGTAGCCTAGTGGTCAAAGCGTTGGCTCTTCACGCCGAAGACCCGGGTTCAATGGGTACAATGGGATTGGGTACAATGTGTGAAGCCTATTTCTGGTGTCCCCCGCCTAGATGTAGCTGGAATATTGCTAAAAGCGGCATAAAACCGAACTCAGTCAGTCAGTCAGTCAGTATTTTTTGAAAGCCATATGCACATACATTTATATAAGGGGCCTTTGTGGTCCAGTTGTCTATGGCACCATAGTTGTTGTGCAGAGTTCTGGGCACACCAGAAACCTATCCTCATGGTGGGTTCGAATCCTGGTTTACCCTGAATATGTTTCTTGGTTTGTCAGCACCAAACCCCAGCTCATGGTAAGCCTCTGAGACTTGTATCACTTCAGCTCTTCCACTTGCGTCAAGTTGACATGCCGTCACAGAACTGGAATATTGTTAAAGTGGCATTGAACCCAAATCATTCACGTTTATAAAAAGTGACGTAAGCCTTGAATTGCACAAAGGAACACTTGGGTTTGATTCCCAACGTGGGTATAATGTGTGAAGCCCAATTTTGGCTTGTTCCCCTGCCCTGATGTGTCTTGTACACTGCTGAAAGTGTCTTAAAATTCCCACTCACACCCATTTAACTGAAACAATATATTGTTCATATATTGCAATGATTTATTTCTGTAAATGTCACAAAATTCCAGAAAAATGTGCATGTGCTTTCTCTTGTTATTGTTGACAGTATTGTGAGAATTCATGGACGCCAAACTATTCTGCTCTGCATTGACAGATTTCCCTGCTTTGTTCCTACACAGCCATTTTGAAGTATCTGAAACTACGTCTGTCTTACTAGATGTTACAGTGGTCCTTTTGTGGTTCTCCTGCTGATTTTGATAACAAATATGCGTCAAGATAAAGATATTCCAAAACATTTATTTACGTAAATGTAAATTTTGCCTCAAATTCAAAACAAAATTGAGATTTTTGTAAGAATAATGGCAATATCTGCATGATAGGTCTCATTTTTTTTATGATAATGATGAGATTATGTTGCTTCTAGCATCCGGTTACCTGGCAACCATCAGCAGATGGCTCCAAGTGGATTGGTCATATGATCCTGAAGAAAACCCCTCTTGAGGGAGGAGGACAGAAGAGCGATTCCAGTGCTATACTAGGTAAGCCACACGTGACAAGCGAACTCAGATCGTGACCACACACATAGCCAGCTGTCACCACCTCTTACAACACAGAAGCTGCTACAATGGTAATGGCACTCCATAATGATAATAGCCAGCAGTTAAGCATACAGGAGCTGTGAAACAGGCGTAGGTGACTTGTGGCGCAGCTTGACTTTGTGGAAATATGCATAGTGCATAATGAGGTGTTATTACATTAACTATGTCATGTTTTTTCAGGACTGAAAGTGATTGGTGGTAAACTGTCAGAAAAAGGAAAATTGGGTGCTTTCATTGCAAAGGTGAAGAAAGGAAGCATTGCTGACACCGTTGGCCATCTTAGACCAGGTATGTGCTAATCATGCACTCTGTAGCTTACTGGGTGGGAATTTGACATGGCATATTTCTTGATATGGCTTTCTATGTTACAGAGTAGGCACTTCATACACTTTGTTTGTGTGTCATTGACATGAGGTCTTACAGAGTAGGCATGTCAAACAATGCATCTGTGTCATTGGCCTAATTGTCTTAAAGAGTAGGCATTTCATACAGTGCATTAGTGTGCCATTGACATGAGGTCTTACAGAGTAGGCATTTCATACAGTTCATTTGTGTGTCATTGACATGAGGTTTTACAGAGTAGGCATTTCATACAGTTCTTTTGTGTGTCATTGACAAGAGGTCTTACAGAGTAGGCATTTCATACAGTTCATCTGTGTACACACACATTGGCCTGATGTCTTACAGAGTAGGCATTTCATACAGTTTATTTGTGTGTCATTGACAAGAGGTCTCACAGAGTAGGCATTTATTTCATACAGTGCATTTGTGTGTCATTGACATGAGGTCTTACAGAGTAGGCATTTCAGATAAAGTATGTGTTTATTTTTGTGATACCTTATGGTGAAGGTATTTAAGATTAGGACAATGTATACCAGTATATACCAGTTTTACATACTTGGCACTTTAGGTCAAGATTATTTTCATTGATATCCTGATATTTGATTATTCAGGTTATTCTTACTCTCAATACCATGATAAACACAATGCTACATTTGATTTAATCAGAAGATGACTGGACAGTGTGTTCTTAATTCATAATCCTGTAATCAATTGCTATATTGCTGATCCAACATACAGTTTTAACTCACTTACCTATAATCATGGAAATAGTATGAGATGTTGAATGTTATTTTTTGTGCAGGTGACGAAGTGGTGGAGTGGAATGGTCGGTCCCTACAAGGAGCCACTTATGAAGAGGTGTATGAGATTATCTTAGAGTCCAAACAGGAGCCACAAGTAGAGCTGATTGTACATCGTGGTGTAGAGTAAGTGTGCCAAGTACCACACAAAAACACAAAGCTTTCATCAGTAATCAGTTGTGCGTTCCTTATCAAAGAAATATGAGGTAATATGAGGCCAATCACAATGAAGGGGTGTAATCCAGAAGTCAGATGTATTGGTTTCACAATAGTATATGTATAACATCAATGAAGCTCACACGTAAGACATGACTTCCTTCACAGAACAGGACCGCCTCCGTGGTGTAGTGGTTAGAGCGTCCGCCCGGAGAGCGGAAGGTTGCAGGTTCGATCCACCGACCGCGTCATACCAAAAGACGTTAAAATATGGTACTTGGTCCCTGCCTGGCGCTTGGCAATAATGGGTACAACAAGGACTGGTCGGCTCGGAGTCAGTATAATGTGTCTGAGTGGTGTATTCATGCTTCACTGCGGCTAGCACTATAAAACCAGCTTAAGTCTGGGCTAGTACAAGCAGCCGCACCTACACATACACACGCATGCACGTTGTCATATGAGCGAAATATTCTCAAGCACGACGTTAAACCCAATTTCACCTCACCTCACCTTCACAGAACACCTAACATCCATACAGCTCTATACCAGAGCACCTAACATCCGAACAGCTCGGAACAAAATACCTATGGACTCTGCTTACGAGACAAATACACACAGTACTCTTAGTCACAGCATATAATACAATGCCTTACAAAAACAAATTAGAACTGAAAAGGTAATTAATCTTGTCTAGTGATGTTTAATTTGACATCTTCACTGACAAAATTGTTTTCTCTTCTTCATTCACTGGAAGCAATATGACGTTGTTTTCTTACCATCAGAAAAAAAGTTTTGATGATATTGTAACCTTCAGATAAGATGACCCCTTTCTTCAGAATGCTTATTTGGGTCCTCAAAATTCGGCTTATCTGCAATCATATATGGTAACCATACAGCTCTACCCAGAACAGCTGCCATATAGCTGGAATATTGCTGAGTGCAGCTTAAAAATAAACACACTCACACTCACTCACTCACTCTACACAGAACAGTTGATGTCCCTACAGGATGACCTCCTCCGTGGTGTAGTGGTTAGAGCATCCGCCCGGGAGAGCGGAAGGTCGCGGGTTCCATCCCCAACCGCGTCATACCAAAAGACGTTAAAATATGGTACTTGTTGGTCCCTGTCTGGCGCTCGGCATTAATGGGTACAACAAGGACTGGTCGGCTTGGAGTCAGTATAATGTGTCTGAGTGGGGTATTCATGCTTCACTGCGGCATGGTATCTCAGCACTATAAAACCAGCTTAAGTCTGGGCTAGTACAAGCAGCCATACATACACATACATACGCATGCACGTTGTCATATGAGCGAAATATTCTCAAGCACGACGTAAAACCCAATTTCACCTCACCTCACCCTACAGGATGAGGAAAGCTCATATCAGATGTCAGTTGTATGCTTTCCTGTCTGGTGTTTCAGCACTGGCGAGGCACCACCTGGGATTCAGTCTGCACACACTGATCATGCCAGAGGTAAGCATCTTGGTCTTCCTCTTCCAGTAAATGGACATCATACAATATACACAAATCATTATATTTGTATTTTTTACCAGTCTGTACAACATGGATACGTTTTGTTTCATTTTATTTTGGTGTGCCAGTAAGGTTTTGTGTATTTGTTTGCTGTTTTTCATTTTCTTTCGCTTGTTTTTTGTTGTTGTTTATATGAAGTACATTTTCATCTAAAGCATTGAAGGATATCGAATGACATTTGATATTCAGATTAGAAAGGACATGTGCTGTAAGTATTTTATAGATTAAATGAAAATGACATGATCTATGTATTACTAATTCTGTAACATTAACCTCAGCAATAATGATCATGCACTGGAACCTGGTATTTCACCAAAATGGTACCGACAAATTAAGGGTTTCTGATCACTTCAAAAGCTTATTATTCGTAAGTGGACATTTGTACATTTGACAAATCTGTCTGATTGTGAATATATTCTGAAACAATGTTCAAAATTTGTAAAGCTGATATAGTACCTTCATTGAAACTGATGTTATATTTTAGTAATATTTATGCCCCATTTTATGTCTCATAGAGATATTCCAGGCTTCAGCGTATGTTCTGTGTGACAATATTTACTAATGTGTGTCCGGTATTATACTGTGTGTCCAATAGAACAATTTCCGCCTCACTTACCCTGCTAGTGCTGTAAACATGTCTCCTTTAAAAGTTCATGAGTAGGAACATTTGGCTTATGTGGGAATGAAAATATATCCTCAACCTTCAGCATGTGGAAATCTTTTTACATATATATTCTAAACCAAGCAATAGTATAATATAAAGTATATAATGTCTCTTCTTCATATTATTTGCCAGTTTGGTACTTTCACACGCTAAAGTTCCTGTAAACTTTGTGTAAGAAACCTGATAGCATGTTAAAGTGGGATGGCATGTGGTGGAGCTTTTTCAAAGAATATTTCTTGCAAGCCATATATATATTTGTTCTGCCTAAGAAACAATTGCTTTTTCTTCTACTAAGTCCAGTGTTTTGACATAATTCCACTTCTACATTTTCTTTGATTGAGTACTAATGGAAGTAACCAGAATGATGTGAAGGAATGCCTACATGCTTGAGAAACCTAAGGTTCTGTTGATAAATAAATTATTTTGTCAGCTGATGTTTCAACCAGCTGGCATATAATGATGTTTTTCCCAACAATTACAGAGTGAATCATCTGGAAATTCATTTCTAAATGTTTTCAGTAATTAATTGTCCATTATAAACCATCATAAACACATGACTGTTAGAAAAAACATCCTTCTATTAATTTACTGATTTTATGATAACAGACATAATTAGAATGATATCGGATATGCAGTTACTATTTTTTTTAGATTCAATCTATAAGGTTTCTTGGTTTTGTTGCAAAAACAATACAGGCAGGGAACAGAATGAGCACTGGTGTCATGTTTTGGAACATTCTAACAAACAAGGAATTGTTGATAAAAGATGACACAATTGGTGAAGAAATAAATCCAGTTTTACTTGTTTCTAGATTATGGACTAAAGGATGCCATTCCAACAACTGATAGAAGAGGGCGCATCAGTGTCACTGTGACATCACCAGGTTCACCAGGCTTGAGGTCAAGGCCACACACACCTCAGATAACGGGAAAACTTCAGGTATTCCTTATGTAGGGTATATTACGTAATTATCTTAGCAGATATTGCATCAACATATTGTACTTTTATAGACATGATTTGCATTGATAATTGTGCCATGAATTAATCGCATTAGGAGATCCCCTAATACAGTTAACATAGCAAATAGTTATATATATTTCTTTTATGAATCAGTTTATGAGTGAGTGAGTGAGTGAGTATGGTTTTACGCCACTTTTAGCAATATTCCAGCAATATCTTGGCAGGGGACCCCAGAAATTGGCTTCACACATTGTACCCATGTGGGGAATTGAACCCAGGTCTTCAGTGTGACGAGCGGACGCTTTAACCATTAGGCTACCCCTCTGCCCCAAATCAGTTTATGAAGTAGAGGGGAATTTGTAATGTATAATAATGCAGAATTGTATCATGTGTGAATTTTGCAGATAAAGTTATGGTATGACGTTCAGAGCTACCAGCTGATTGTCACTGTCATCAGTGCCATTGAGCTCCCCCTGACTGATAACGGCAAATTCCGCAACCCCTACTGCAAGCTGTACCTGCTTCCTGACCGGAGGTAAGTTGTGTTTTTAAGATGATACCAGCACTTGTAATTAACATAACACATAACACTACCACATCCCCTCCTTCCAACAAGCAACAGCTTCCATATGTCCCTTTTCCGAGCACCTTCCTCCATCTTTACCAGGGATTATGGGAATTTACAGTCTTGCAGGATGGTCCTCCCTCTGGAAAGTAAGAAGCTATAGAATTTGCAGTCTGTATTTGATAGACTCCAGAGTCTTACAGCTAAATGTATAAATCAATGTTTGGACGAACCGTTTTCCACATATTGGTTGTGATGGTTGTAGTTGAGAATTTGTGGGGTTCAAATTATGTGCCTAGTTTGTAAGAGTGTGTTCACAAAACATATCACTATTTCCCAGTTTGTTTTGGAACTTTAGAAATACCCTTTGATGACAGCATATCAAAAGCAACAGATCTGGATGTTTTCACATATATCTTTTAATATCAAGAGAGAATATAGACTTGATATTGACCAAAAATGTCAATCAGTACCAATTTGTGGATTTGAATTTGGAGAAATATGTTTGGAGAGAGAAGCATGTACCAGTTGCTAATTAAAATATCAGAACGACACAGATTGTTTAACCTTAAACATCTGTGACATTCAGATATTTGGTAAATGGTTCAATATCAAGAATGAGATATGAAATAGGCCTTTATAATGGTTGTAGCAACAAGACCATTGTGCTTCATTAGTACTTGTGTATGTATGAAGGAGCCTGCAAGCTGTATAGTGTCCATGTACTCTCTATCACCCATCATTGTGCTCATACCACCATAATGTCTCTTCTTCATATTATTTGCAAGTTTGGTACTTTCACACGCTAAAGTTCCTGTAAACTTTGTGTAAGAAACCTGATAGCATGTTAACGTGGGATGGCATGTGGTGGAGCTTTTTCAAAGAATATTTCTTGCAAGCCATATATATATTTGTTCTGCCTAAGAAACAATTGCTTTTTCTTCTACTAAGTCCAGTGTTTTGACATAATTCCACTTCTACATTTTCTTTGATTGAGTACTAATGGAAGTAACCAGAATGATGTGAAGGAATGCCTACATGCTTGAGAAACCTAAGGTTCTGTTGATAAATAAATTATTTTGTCAGCTGATGTTTCAACCAGCTGGCATATAAATGTTTTTCCCAACAATTACAGAGTGAATCATCTGGAAGTTCATTTCTAAATGTTTTCAGTAATTAATTGTCCATTATAAACCATCATAAACACATGACTGTTAGAAAAAACATCCTTCTATTAATTTACTGATTTCATGATAACAGACATAATTAGAATGAAATCGGATATGCAGTTACTATTTTTTTTAGATTCAATCTATAAGGTTTCTTGGTTTTGTTGCAAAAACAATACAGACAGGGAACAGAATGAGCACTGGTGTCATGTTTTGGAACATTCTAACAAACAAGGAATTGTTGATAAAAGATGACACAATTGGTGAAGAAATAAATCCAGTTTTACTTGTTTCTAGATTATGGACTAAAGGATGCCATTCCAACAACTGATAGAAGAGGGCGCATCAGTGTCACTGTGACATCACCAGGTTCACCAGGCTTGAGGTCAAGGCCACACACACCTCAGATAACGGGAAAACTTCAGGTATTCCTTATGTAGGGTATATTACTTAATTATCTTAGCAGATATTGCATCAACATATTGTACTTTTATAGACATGATTTGAATTGATAAGTGTGCCATGAATTAATCGCATTAGGTGATCCCCTAATACAGTTAACATAGCAAATAGTTACATATATTTCTTTTATGAATCAGTTTATGAGTGAGTGAGTGAGTATGGTTTTACGCCACTTTTAGCAATATTCCAGCAATATCTTGGCAGGGGACCCCAGAAATTAGCTTCACACATTGTACCCATGTGGGGAATTGAACCCAGGTCTTCAGTGTGACGAGCGGACGCTTTAACCATTAGGCTACCCCTCTGCCCCAAATCAGTTTATGAAGTAGAGGGGAATTTGTAATGTATAATAATGCAGAATTGTATCATGTGTGAATTTTGCAGATAAAGTTATGGTATGACGTTCAGAGCTACCAGCTGATTGTCACTGTCATCAGTGCTATTGAGCTCCCCCTGACTGATAACGGCAAATTCCGCAACCCCTACTGCAAGCTGTACCTGCTTCCTGACCGGAGGTAAGTTGTGTTTTTAAGATGATACCAGCACTTGTAATTAACATAACACATAACACTACCACATCCCCTCCTTCCAACAAGCAACAGCTTCCATATGTCCCTTTTCCGAGCACCTTCCTCCATCTTTACCAGGGATTATGGGAACTTACAGTCTTGCAGGATGGTCCTCCCTCTGGAAAGTAGGAAGCTATAGAATTTGCAGTCTGTATTTGATAGGCTCCAGATTCTTACAGCTAAATGTTTAAATCAATGTTTGGACAAACCGTTTTCCATATATTGCTTGTGATGTTTGTAGTTCAGAATTTGTGGGGTTCAAATTATGTGCCTAGTTTGTAAGAGTGTGTTCACAAACATATCACTATTTCCCAGTTTGTTTTGGAACTTTAGAAATACCCTTTGATGACAGCATATCAAAAGCAACAGATCTGGATGTTTTCACATATATCTTTTAATATCAAGAGAGAATATAGACTTGATATCGACCAAAAATGTCAATCAGTACCAATTTGTGGATTTGAATTTGGAGAAATATGTTTGGAGAGAGAAGAAGCATGTACCAGTTGCTAATTAAAATATCAGAATGACACAGATTGTTTAACCTTAAACATCTGTGACATTCAGATATTTGGTAAATGGTTCAATATCAAGAATGAGACATATGAAATAGGCCTTTATAATGGTTGTAGCAACAAGACCATTGTGCTTCATTAGTACTTGTGTATGTATGAAGGAGCCTGCAAGCTGTATAGTGTCCATGTACTCTCTATCACCCATCATTGTGCTCATACCACCTTCCACATCACACCCCAATCATTGTTGCACATTTCGTTAATACTGGGATCGTGCTAAAACTAAAACTAGAACAAATCCTTGTGAGTACTAGTAGTACCTGAAAGGAAGACAGAAATATGTCCTGTTAGTTTTAGAACGATCCCTGGTAAGTTTATTCTTAATAGAAAGGAATTTTGTCATTTCATGTCGTTGTCCGTTTCAAAAACTTTCAAGTATCTATGATGGATACAAATTTGTGAAATGAGTCATACTTGGCAACCAAATGTTGCTGTGCAAACAACTACAACTCAGCTACTGACTGGGTGTGTCTAGTTGCATTTATGTTTTGGAAATGATTCAGCAAATGAAGTAAACAAATGTTATTTTACTTTATATATAAGTCATTGTCAAGATTTTATTTCATACTACATCTTCAATCGTCTAAATCTAAAATGTTAAAAAGAATTACGTCTCGAAAGAAAAACATTTGAAATTTGGCAAAATATTGTGTTCAACATGTTTAACAGTTTCCAAACCAATATGTATGAAATAAAATCATTTATTTTGATTTTTATATATATCTTTTAGGCGTCAATAATTTTTACAAGTTTCCTACTACTGTTCTGATATGTTACAGTTTCTTTGGTAAATGCTTCATGAATGTTTCATATGAAACTTGAACAATAATGGCTTGGTTCATAGTTTTCAAATGGGTCTTTGCAATCTCTTCCAAAATGTCCTTTTAGGAAATGAGAAATGCATATGGGAACAAGTGTGAAAGTTGTCTTGTTAATCAGTCTCTTGACCCTTGAGAATAAATCAAGAAAGGAAGTCTAGAATCATTTGCAAGTCTAGATGTTATACTTTCTTAGGTGGTTCATATCGATATTTCATATTTTGTAAATAAATATTTTAAGTAAGATAACACAAGATTTTAGTCTTGAGTCCATAAGCCAAGGGTGGTTTTTATTTAATGTACTGCACTACAAAGTAAAGTACTGGGAGATGTATAGGATACAGTAACTGGAACCAAGCTATTTTGTTCAGGCCAGATGAAAGCATTTATTCACATTTTGAAAAATATCAGAATGGTAAAATATGTATTAGTTCAAGTTTTATCCAAATATGTTTCACTGGGACCAGTAAGCGTCATATTCTGTAATTCTGAAGTGGAATTTCACTTTAATAAAATAGATATAGCACCTGTTTGTGCCAAATGATGTTGGTCCCAAGAAGCTAAGGGATAAGACTTGCAACTGTTTAATATCTCACAGCCAGAGATAAAGATAATAACAAAGTGCTTCACAGTTAGTGAAGAAATATTAATTCTTAGTCATTACCTACATGAAAGCATGATTCCTATAATAATAGAACAAGTGAAAAATGTTACATTTGAGTAACACTAATTTTCACACAAAAAACCCATTGTCATTGTCTGAAACTGTTTTTTCTCCCAAATTTGATCAATGTTTCCCAGCCTTCATAAATAATTTTGAACATATGAAGACATTAGCGGTTATGAAATTGATGTTTGTCTTTTTACCTGGCTGTGGTAAGATGTGTTTTAATAATGTTTCCTGTGTTTTACTGCTTGTTTGACCAAGAATGCCGTGTTATGTTGTTGTTATGATCATGGTGATGATGGTGGTGGTGGTGGTGGTGGTGGTGGTGGCTGTCCCAATTGTACCACGTATATGTCTAGCTTGTCGTAACTGGCTACTTCCTGTAATCTACACCATAGTAGTCATACCCACAGACTTCTATTTCTGTTCAGATTTTTGTTGTAGTGATTTTTTTTCAGATATTTATATTGTTTCAGTGATTTTGTCGTTTACTCTTTTCCTCAAATTTCTAAAATGTTAAAAAAATACATTCTTCATCTTCTTTATATATTTGATGTTTGTTTATGTAGAAAATAACTTATGTTACACTAATTTTAGATATTTTTATTGAACTGTTGTTTGCTAGATCTACTTTGACTATTTATTTCCTGACAATGAATATTCTCCTGATAAAATGTTTTTTCAAAATTAGAAATGTTAAAATTTTGTTACTTTCATTATAGTGTGTGCTTTATTTCTAAAGTTTAAAACCTCAAAACTTGAACTGTTTTCTTAGAACCATTACGTAATGCTATCTGGCTGTAGCCTCTACATATATACAAGTGACATGTGGTGACGGCTTCATCTCATTGGCCCAAGACTCCACCTGGCAATGGCTGCTTGATCATAACAGAGACTAACATAACCGGTCATTTCTAATTAGGCTGAACCCTACTTATTCTAGCGAGAAGAGCAAACGTCGCACCAAAACAATAGCCAACACGATTGAACCGACGTGGAACCAGACTTTTATATACTGCCCAGTGAAGGAATCTGATATGAGGGATCGCCTCCTTGAGATTACCGTATGGGATTATGACCGAATCGGAGCCAGCGAGTTCCTGGGGGAGGTAACTGCGTCTTAACCAAATCTCCTGGTGGTGAAGATAATACTTGGAATGTTTTCAGCCATATATCAATTCTGTGTATGAAATTGGTAATGTTCTGGTGAGATTTATGCTTGGTTTCTAATGATGATTACTTTTTGACAGCCATATATCAATTCTGTGCGTAAGTTAACAAGTAAAGCTCCCCTAGTTGCCCTGTATGATGAAGGTTGTGTTCTCTGAAACTGTCACAGGTCCATTCTTCCATATATAGTTGTTTGGTTATGTGGCATTTGATTGGCTAACCAATCAATGTGTTTAGTTTAAGTTTCTGTAAACTGAAAAACAATTAGGCTACACTCATTAACAGACAACTGTTTTCTGATGTAAAAATGTAAAACCAAAGCTGTTTGAAGTCACTGTAAAATTGACAGATAAAACATAAATCATATCCTGATTCTACTTCAAGATCTATTCTCAAAGGACAATATATATGTAGCTAGAAATAAGTAAGTTTCTTCATGTTGGTAAAATGTCCTCAGCCTAAACAGAGGAATAGTGACAGAACAATCCCATAAACATTCAAGTTTAAAATTCAGTATTCTTGAACATGTTGTTGACATATATGATAGTCTGAACATCGAAACCTACAAATAGTATCTGAATATATTTGAACATCCGCCCAATATACTTCTGCTTAAATGCCCGTGAAGGTCCGGGTTAGAATGAACCTTCAGTACACATGCTTGCTGTAAGAAGCGACTAATGGGATCGGGTGGTGAGGCTCGCTGACTTGGTTGACACAGGTCATCGGTTCCCATTTGCGTAGATCGATGCTCATGCTGTTGACCACTGGATTGTCTGGTCCAGACTCGATTATTTACAGACCGCCGCCATATAGCTGGAATATTGCTTAGTGCGGCGTAAAACTAAACATCTCTCACTCTCACACTTCTGCTTAAATTCACCCATTAACTTTCAAAACCATGTAGATTATTCTAGATATACAAAATGTGACTATCTCTAATTTTGTCACTCTATATGTTCAACAATCTAGTCCTTTTTCTGCAGGATTGTATTGATGATAATATAGATGTCTTATTTAAATTAATAATATCACATTGCGACAGTAGACTTATTCAGTCATGATTCTGACATTGTTAGTAACTTTGGTTAAAGATCACTCAAGCTACAATATAAGAACAGCTCTTTTCAAATGGGAGGGTGTGGGATGAAATCCATGCAACAAAATGTTGATCCAGAAAATTATGTACTATGTAATGTAATGTTTATCGTAACTGTTTTGAAGGTGAATGACGGTTCTGTAAAGCAATATTATATTATCATCAAACAATTAAATATCAATATCATTACAAACACATCTTTAGGCATCAGCACTTTAAATTCTAATAATATCAGAATATTAAACAAAAAGGGTCATAGTTGACAGCCTTGACCGAATTAATCACAGAAGGCAATCACAATATGGAGTGCCACCTTGTCCCAGGGATTCTCATGATTTCAAGTTATTATACATACTGTTGGACAGTTTTTCCTTTGAAACTACCCAGATTGAATGGTATTTATATACAGTAAGCTTCTGTTATTTTATTTTATTTTTTTATTTATTAATTTCCGGTACTGAAAGGCCACAGGCCTGTAGTACAATGTATTTATAAATCAATATTTACACGCACGGATAATATACATGAAGAAGGGAAAATAATCAACTTTAGGTTACATTGTGTTCTGAGATATATTCTGTCCTAAACAACATGGCATAGTAAGCAAACATGGACACGTTTTGAAGTATAGTATGGGTTTTGTTATTCAACAATGCTGAGAATTTATAAAGGTTTGGATGGGCACAATAATATTTCTTAATATACAACTTTCTGATGGAATTATAAGCAGGGCAAATTAAAAGAAAATGATATTCATCTTCTATTTGGTTAAGATCACATAGTTTGCAAGTTCTATTTTCTTTTTGACATTTTTAAATCTTCCACTTTCGATAGATAAATCATGTGAAGAACATCTCAATCTGCTTAATGCTATCCTATATTTTTTTACGCTTTAGACATGAAAGATAAGTTTCGAGTCAAAAGTACATTTAAACATCTTATAATACAGACATTTACTGGAAAGTGATATCTTTTCAAACCATTCTTGCAAATAGATATCTTTTAATCTTTGTGTTAGTTCTAAAATAAACTTACCCTCAGAATCAACATACTGATCGTTCCATACAAAACCAAACCCTTTCGAGAATAGAACAGCAGAAACCCAATTTGTGTGTCCATTTTTATCGAATAGCATCATCATATTGTAACATTTCTTTGGTAGCCTATAAGAAGCCATCTTCAGTAATTTTAACCAGTATTTTATAACTCTGATATTTGTAAATAAGTGCATCGGGTATTTACCACATTCTCCATACACCATTGTATTCATCGTATTGGATTTAACACCAAGAAATCTTTTACATGTTTTCAATTGAACTCTTTCAATATCACTGTCATAATTAGGCATCAGCACTTTAAATTCTAATAATATCAGAATATTAAACAAAAAGGGTCATAGTTGACAGCCTTGACCGAATTAATCACAGAAGGCAATCACAATATGGAGTGCCACCTTGTCCCAGGGATTCTCATGATTTCAAGTTATTATACATACTGTTGGACAGTTTTTCCTTTGAAACTACCCAGATTGAATGGTATTTATATACAGTAAGCTTCTGTTATACTGGGCGGTGGGGTAGCCTAGTGGTTAAAGCGTTTGCTCGTCACGCCGAAGACCCGGGTTCGATGCCCCACGTGGGTACAATGTGTTAAGCCCATTTCTGGTGTCCCCCGCAGTGATATTGTTGGAATATTGCTAAAAGCGGCGTAAAGCTGAACTCACTCACTCACTCTGTTATACTGTGTTGGTTATCTATACTGTCTGCTGTTATCAGGATTTTCTGCTTACCCCACAGTTTGGGAAGGTTGGAATGAAAATATATTGGAGTAGCTCAATATTTGTTGGGTCTCATTTGTCATTAGGTTGTTTGGGTCATATCTTATTGGTTGAAATTGTACTAGTTAGCTGAGTGAATACAGAGGCCTTACAAAGCACCAGATCCTGAAATATGTTTTTCATGTGTTATCACATTTCCATCAAATTAAATGTGGTTCAGATTGATAAATGGCTGTCACTAGTATTATCAAGGCACAGGTGAGTATGTCACATCTGAGCTGAGTACATTATGTTAGATCTTCTGTGTTTTAGATCTGTGCCTTGCTTTACAGACTTAATCTGTAGACCGCTATCAATTGAACATAATTCCATAATCTATGCATTGTATATGCTGTTCATTGTTCAACATGGACTTGCCAATATATACTATATATAATATGTTTGTTATTGAACATTGTCCACTGTTGTTACCACAAAGAAAAATACACATATATTGTTTGTCATTGTACAAAAGGAATTAATGTTACTAGTAAAAACTACAGATATATTGTATATTATTGTAGTATTTCACTCTTGTTACCATGGAAACTACATCATTGTACAGCATCAACAAAACATTTTTACATACTTCAGAATATAATGACATATATAATATACATATCTTGGTCATCTGTAAAACATACTTGTTTTTGCTTATGTTATGACATAACCATTCGTTTTTGCTATTTGTCTGCAAAAGTTACCATTTAATGGATGCCATATTTTTCACATATGACAAATATCATCTATTGATATATCCAGCTTCCATATGATGTTATGAATGTTATCAGTGGTCCTGCCTGGTTTTATTAGGTTCTGATTGATCTCACTGCTGCTAACCTTAATGACGAACCGTACTGGTACCAGCTTGGTCACCATGACGACGCCAGCATACCACTCCCAGCATCATCACCTAGAACAGTAAGTAGAACAGTATCTTCTTGTTAAAAAATTAACAAAGAAAGAACAATTGTGTTTTGGGGTCTTTTAATGACTTTAGAAGTGACACACATAAGAAAGAGAGTTTTATGATATTAAAACTTCTTTATTATAGTCTCCCTGTTTACCACTCATAATAAAAAAGTTGACATCCATAAAACTCTCTTCCTTATATTTATTTTTATTTTATTTTTCTTCATAACATTTTTCTTTTTTTTTGTCTCCAATAAAAAGGGAAATCGAGTAGTGTGATCATCAGTTATGATGCTAGTAAATTTTGTGTGTTGGACATGTCATGAAGGTCACATTTTTCACAATTAGAATTACTGAAAAATGTGTATGTTGCTATTTAGAAAACATCCCAAGATCCATACGACCTGAAGGCACATCTGTCCCCACCGGTGAGCACTCGCGGGCTGAGTGACAGCGATCTGTCAGAGCTGGACTTTGACGATGGCATTGGCGTAGTGCAAGGTATGGTATATCATAGTACTTACTATCATCATATACAGTATAGGCATAGCACACCAATCAGCATGCAGTACTCATATCTGGACTAAGGGATCATATATCCACTTCTTAATGTATGGTAAGGACATGGTTTTACCTTTAGTTGAACAGTAGCATTGTAGATGTAGACATTTTGTACTAAATTATAGTTTGTTTAAGTACCTACTTGACTGATACATTTGTTTTCGCATTTTGTATATCTGCATAAGACTGATAGTATATATACCAGTTAAATTGTTTTTAAACCTTTTAGATTAAGTATTTCACATCTATGCTGGGCGAAAAGAAATCTTGATTATCTTCCAAAATAGATTCCATTGAGCACTTTTGGGAGGATTTTGTAGAAAATTATGACTTTACTGCCAAAGATGAAGAACTAGGTGTTCATGAAAAAAATTGACAGAAAATATATTAATTTTTCAAAGTTACATGAAGTGTATAAAGTTTTAAGCCCTTATTGTTTGAAACATCTGTAATGGCCTGGCCGTGTCCCTGTAATATGACATCGTATCTACCACTTGTTCGGCACATATAACCTATATAGGTTAACCTATAGGTGATGAAATAGTTTGATGACTCACGCTTGTCCTTAAACTTTGGTTGATCAAGTAGACATTACTTATTTGTGTAGTATATATTCCCTATAGGTGTATCTGTAGTTAGTTACGTTTCCTTTGGGCTTGCAAGATAGATATCTAGACAACTATTATGTTCCAGTTATATTGGTAGTCATATGTTAGTGGTTGACCCCTAGTTCCTCCACAGTAAGAGCTATGTTAAACAGTGGGGTAAGTACCCTTAGCACTGACAGATGATGTGTATTAAATATATACAATGTAGCAAGAATGAAAATAGTTTCCATGGTATCCACTAGGTGGCGGTATTGGTCGCAGTGATGGTGCTAGCATTAGTTCAGTGGGGAGTTCATGTAACACTCCCCCAGGGTTAGATGAACTGTCCGATGGGAATGATCAACCACATGCATGTCACCATGGTGACTGCGAGTCTCCGTCCAGTACACGCAGACGAAGCGGAACAGGTAGCCAATCAGTGCCGCTCTCAATGTCACGTGATCCCACAGTAGATGCTTTTGTTGTCTCCATTGCTAGTCAGTATGTAGACGTCAAGTACGAACAGTATTTATCAAAGATGTACAAAATCATTAGTATTCTACCATGATGAAGGCAGTTCAGTGTTCTTGCAGCATGTCAACATGTAATAACTGGACTGTGAAAGGCCCATGTGTTGAAGTGTGTAATTTGTTCACTATTTGGCAGAAGAGTCTTTTTAAGTAATAATGTATATCAAACCTTAATTGTCTGCCACATGTTGCCTCTGTATTCATACATCTGGTGGTTGTGTAGTGTAGTTTGCTACCCATCTGTACTGTCCACCTGTTCGTACCTCCCCCTGGTGTAAAGACAGTCTTTAGTCTTTGTGTTCAGTATGGATAGTAATGTGACATATATACTGTTATAAAATAAAAAGTAGGGAATGCTCAAGAATATTTGTAAATTTCCATAATTGTAAAAAAAAGATAATAGCTTTTAGTAATAGGAATATGATGATAAACATATTTGAAACATATTATGAGCAGTAGTGAAGTATGACAGTGGATGTTATGACTGGCAACAATCTTGAAAGGCAATAGGGGTAAAATTGGAAATTTCAAAGTTTGAAATGTTGTTTTATTTAAATTGTACATTATACCATAAGGATTTGTCAAACATTCAGTCTACCAATGCCAGTTCTAGGGAGTCTGCCCCACTCCCTTTGCAGCACCTGGTCAGGTTCAGCCAATGATGTTGGCAGCCTATGACATTGACATACATCTCTCCCTATCATGGCCCAATAGGGGAAAGGCCTTAGTTCATTGCTCACAACGGCATTCTATGAAGGTTGTGCTGCTGGCAGTCAGCATTGATGATTTGTGCAGTGAGCACGGTCACTGTCTTCCTGAAAGACAAAAGTTGACTAACATCCCTTGCAAACATGACAATAGGTGTCAGTATGTTGTAGTTTTTACAAGTACTAGGCAGTGACCTTTGGGTTCACTCATTCATAGTGACGCCATGCCCCACCGTAACCACCAAAGTGAACTTAGACTCATCTGAAAACATGATACATGACCAACGATGATTACCCTATTTTGATGTGTAAGCCCTCTCTGTCTGGTCATGTACAACATATGGCCATGGAGATAAGCGGCACGAGATTATTCTATTCATCACACACATAAGTCCTACTCAACCTAATGAAAGTTTCAGCAATTAATGTTGCAATTTGGGTCTGATATCCTAGAGCCTGGTTTCAGATCAGTTCATCCTGTACAATCGTCACTGACCTGGTATGCTCTGAACAGTGAACATTGTCAACCTTTTTGCATTTGTTGGTACCTGTTCAATAACTTGTTTCAGGGGCATTTAGAAGTTGGTGTGATGAACAATGAGGAGAGTTCTATGGATATACAACTTCTTTAATATAATATGAGCGACGTTTCGGTGTAGCTACTAACACTGTTATCAAGCTACTAACACCGCAACACCGTTACATTTTCTGCTTGATAACGGTGTTAGTAGCTACACCGAAACGTCGCTCATATTATATTAAAGAAGTTGTATATCCATAGAACTCTCCTCATTGTTCACCTGTTCCATAGTCTGCTTATAACAGACTGAATTATTGCACATTTCGTCCACTGACTTCCGACTGTTACCAACTTGCAAGAAGTCGATAGAAGATCTGCTTATGGCTGATACTACATCACTAGCTCACACACACACACATTGTATGAATCAATTCAAGGAAATCACTACTATATGATAAGCAGAATAAAAAAGAATGATAAAACTAATTGGCCACAGAGATTAGTTAACCCTCCTTGAACATGTGAGAATCAGGAAAGACACCACACACATGTATGTGGCCCTGTTGCATGTGCAAACTATGGGATGTGTTTTGGTGTTAAGTTTTAGCCCTGACGTAAATGTTCTTGCCAAAAGCTGTTCGTCATCACCACCTATATATACAGATAAGATCTTGTCACATTGCTCAGTATTTATTTGTCGTCATGTAATAGAAATGGCTATGTTATATTTGTGGTGTGAACCTCATATATATAATTTACTTGTCACAAGATAATTCATATGAGTTGTAACTGATTCTCCTCCATGTAACACTGAATCTCCTCCTGAATCATAAACTTGAGTGGCACTGATAAGCCTAAATGTGAGTTTCCAGTGTATGACTAAGTAGCTGTGAATAGGTGGGGCACTCTAGATTACAAAGACAAGAGCTATCAAAATGATGTGAAAAAGGATGGAGAACTTGATTAAGAAAATTTCTCAAGAAATGAAGTCATTTGCATGGTTCAGCATTCAGTAATTTTAAATATGTAAATCCTTGCATGTGTTACCATGGAAACTGTTTTCTTTTTCAGCTGTTTTATGACTATGTACTGTTCGTATTTGACGTATCATTCTAGCTTTAGAATCACAGCAGTTTTTGATAAATCACTTTTCATAAGCATATAGAATTATTAAAAAATATTAGAGATTTTAAATCCACAGCTTTATGCTTAAAGTTGTAGAGGACACCGTCTTTAGTGCTGTTTTCATGTTGCAGCAAAAGAATTAACACTGGTTTTGTGCACCACATTTATGTGAACACTTCTTTCTGCACAGAATAACATATACATGTACTTGCACACATACTTACCTGAATGATTCACTTTCAACATCAGAGATACAGCACTGCTTCCTCTGTTTTACTATTGGATAATCTATGCCTGTGTGATACAGTGCTGTATTGCCGTAAAATTGTATTGCTCTATCAGATGTACTCTGTAGTTCATACCAATAGTAAACACAAATTCAAATCACATTTCACATTTCTGTGAGGAATATTCCAGCAATGAGGAGCAACTATTTCTAAAACAATACCTTATATGTGCTATTATTGTAATATAAATTATACTGTGTCTTAAGAACTGGACCACGCATAGCATACAGCCAAGTGCTTGTCCATGTTGTTCTGGAACGTTGAATAATTATTGCTATGTTGATATCAAGAATAACACGCAGACAGATAGTATCGCACAAATCTACAGAAGATTTCAGTAGATAGAAGAACAGATTTTAGGCAGTCCAATTTTTGTTTCATTTCTTCACAGATCAGTTTTTCTGTAAATTGAAGAACAAAAACAGCGCAAGGTTGGAAAAATCCTACTTGTGTATTAATAGTATGAAAGAATCAATGTACCCTGGAGACTCAACAGTTGAGGTGTGGTATTCACTGCTGATTGGTTGACTACCAGAATTCATAGAATCAAATGGACTAATACATTGTGAAACTTCTAAATTAGCAATGTGATATTTATACTAAGACAAAAAATTCACCCTTTTCAATATGTGGCTGCCATGTTGAAATTTCTGTGATGTTTGACTTTTCAACCAATCATATGTCAATGTGGTATATAATAAACAATAAATGTTTACAAACTTACGCATCTGTATCCAATCTTAGTTTGTCAGTTATGACCTTAATGTTTTTACATGATCTGTTATATGTCAGATATCTAACTAGTGTTCATGTCTATTTGCTCAAACTGTTATTCTCATATAAAAACATTTCAAAACAGATAAGGAAACTCTAGCCTGCTCAAAGATAAACATTGTCAAAATGCAAAAGCATGTGAAAATTATCTTTAACATGTGCTTGTGGTGTGAAGTTGGGTGATGAAGTTGTTGACCTGTTTGTCAAACATTTTGTCATGATTGTAAATGTTAGTGGTAGAATTGTATAGCCATGCTGTTAACATTGCCTGTTATATAGATAGACATCTATCTGCCAACAACTGGTGTCCAAATGTTTGTTGTTGAACCTGTTATTTTTGAAATGAGTTAGTTGCTATGGTAATATTTTTAAAAATCAGACTTAAAAATATACTTCATCCGTGTTTTTCTGAATTTATTAATTTGTAAGAACAGGCTTGTAGAAAATTTGAAATTGTCACTTCAGACAGTGGCAAACACTGGAATATATATCATGTTTTTATTAACCAATTGTTTCAGATCATGCTTGTGATACACATGCTATATATCACAGGCACAATAATTGTTGAGAACTCTGGTCAGTGAATTTTTGGAAATATGGCAGATTGAGGGTTCAGCCATCAGTTTCTTGATATTTTTCAAAATTGAAACTCAGTTACAAGTCAGACTATTTCTTTGCAGTTGTAGGACGTGATGAGATCAGTTCTCGGCGAAGACATATGACCTCCAGTGGCAGTCTTGAGGTTCCTGACCATGGGGCACAAAGGTCTAGGTCGCCATCAAGGGAGGTAACTCATGGTGCTAGGTCTAGATCACGTTCCCCTGCTCCTCATCGCGTGCCAGAGGTTGTTTCAAGGTCGCTATCACCACCTGAACTTAGGTAAGTATCATTCATGATAATGACTATGAATTTAAAACACTTTTGACAAGGCATTGGAAATAGCAGCAGATGTAAATGGTCTCTTAAGAATTCTGCATATGTCAAATTGTAAAACAGTTAATTGTTTACATGGGTAAATATCTGGATGTAAATCTATTTAAATAGAGGATGTTTGATATATCTGTTCTGTTTTCTGAAGGTCACAAGCTCCACATGGAGTTCGCGGGGTGCAGGCACGCTCAGCAGGAGGAACTCCACAGAGTACTCCGTCACCAAAGAAGCGGCAGTTGCCAGCAATACCACTAGAAGCCCAGATGGCCAGCAGAGACAGAGGTAGAGCTGAAATAGCAATGTTGTGCATGCTATACAAGGTGGTCAGAAAGTGGAAATTCTGTTAGCTTAATGCCCTGTGTTAAATAATGACACTGTATGTCATGGAAAGTACCGGTAGTCAATGAGTGGAAATTGTGTGAGCAAGGTGAGCCATGTTATATATTGAGACAATGTCATGGAAAGTGGTCTGAGAGTTACAGGGCTCCCAGATAAGGGCTGTATCGGCGTATGTACAGATATAAAATATTCACGATACGGTAGGAAATAATTTAGAAAACGTAGTAGATACGCACCACAGCAATGGTGCGTTAGCTTCCATTCAGTACTCTAAATGTACACTTAAGGTTTTCCAGTACTCAATATTAAACAAATAAGGAGTACGTACTCCTGATGTTGAAAAATTATCTGGAGCCCTGGAGTTAACATACGAAGGAAAAGGTGTCAACTTGATGCACAATGTTAAATAATTACATTGTATTGATACTTTGCCATAAGACAAGTGAAGGCAAAGCTATCCTACCGAAATTGTTTACTTAAATGTCAGCAGTTTTATGCATGTTTCTAATGACTAATAACAAAGATACAGTTTAGACAGGGACTACAGTTAACTATGGTACCACAGTTGTTCATGCCATGTTCTGATTGCAGTAACACAAGACCTAGAAGAGAGAGAGCTCGCATGATGAAGATGAAGATAAAGATGGGTCAGCATGGTTCTGGAAATATACCACTGTCTGACAGTGAAGCCTACTACTCCAGAAGGGATATGGACAGGTATGGCCAATCAAACAGATACTTGTCTTAGCTCAGATTGCATAGGGGCCCTGGTAGGGGTAGCAGTTAATCAAATACAGTGCGACCCTGGATATCTGGACACATTCTTTTTGCGTAAATCGTCTGGATAACTCAATATTCGGATATCTGGATTTCTGTCATCCATGCTTAGGTGTTGAAACGGTAGCGAGCATACACTTCTGGTTTAAGATCACTTCCAAAACAGCATGGTCATTTTGATGTGCCAATTACAATTCACTCTGTGCCAGAATAGGCCTACTAATCACCACCAATACCCTGCTGATTGGTCATTAATCCGGATTAGCACTTCACACGGTCAGCCGTAGATCAAATCTTCATGCAGATAAGTGAGTTAATTTTGTGTTGATTTAGCCGGTTAGTTTGTAAAATTTACAGTCTGGGAACGGAAACCGCATATCTGTTATAGACAGTCACTTTTATAGCTTAAGAGATTGGGGTTTTTAATGAAAATTGACCGGAAGGCGAGGTTTCTGGATATTTGGGGTCCGGGTATCCGGGGTCTCACTGTATGTTTATTAAGTTTCGACTTCGGACTTTCCTCACAATGACATGATATAACTGAAATATCATTACAACTCTTTCACTCACTTCAAACAGGATATACTTTATTTCATATGTCCTACTGTTGACATCCTTGACATGGAAGTGTTATCACATGTTAAGTACAAGTAACTCAGAACATGTGTACTATATATGGGGGGCGAAGTAACATGTTTAGACTTAGATTAACTGTAACAGCTCAATAATAAATTGCTTCCTGTTATATCAGGTCCAAATCAAGAGACAGGAAAGACCGGAGAATGGATATAGATCGGGATCGTGGAGATAGAATGAGAGACAGAGGTATGGATCGAGGATACGAAAGGGGACGTGACCCTGAAAGAAGCCATAGAGGGCGCAGAGCAAAAGGTTTGTAATTGTCATACTAATAGCTTACCTTTCTGTCAGTGATGGAAACCACTTAGACAGGGTTGTTTTGACTGCTTGGTTCGTTGAATATATTTTACAATCATTACCAGTAGATGGGAAATGAAAATAACATTTTTCAGATGTGCTTTCTAAAAGGTTCACTGCATAGTAGTGTTAGTAAAGCTTGTGCAAAATGTAAAGAGACTTTTTCAACTAATATCAATACTCGAACATAAATGTTTAAAACTAGCAAGCCATAAAATTTTGAACTTGTTGTTGAATGGGTATTTTTATGTCAAAAGACACTGGTAAAATTCTCTATATGGTCATAAGTGTACAGGAGTAGTGTTTGGGCGGAAAAATGACAAGACGTGTGTGTGCCTCCCCAGATTTCCCAAGAGTCTAAGTCTATCACATCTTTGCAAACCTTTCCAATAACATCTACAGTAATAATGGTTTGTAACATTGTTTTGAAACCAGAAAGTTTATATGTTTTGTTACATTGTAGAATTCAGCCCGGAGGTGTCGGACGATGTTGCAAGTGATGTGTCAGAGACAAGTGACATGTCTGAGGTGTCCAAGGTTAGCACCATCAGTGTCAGATCAACACAGTCAGAACGTCCACACAGGCGACTCAGGTAAGAAGTGAATCCTGTCAGTAAACTCATAATATTCTTATGGCTGAAAACACACATTGCTTAAACTCTTGATCGATAAAACAGATATCCAATGATATCTTATACCCTAAGTGTGGAATAGTTATCAGTAGTGTTTGTGTTCTTTATACCCTAAATAAATAAAATGGCTATTTGTGGTCTACAAAATGCTGATAGTGCAGAATTTCTGCATTGTGTGGTGTTTTTTTTTTTTTTTTAGGATAGGTTAATAGGTAAATATTTAATTCCTAATGACTTTCATTGTAGTGGGGTAGCCTAGTAGCTAAAGCATTTCCTCGTCACACCGAAGATCTGGGTTTGATTCCCCACATGGATACAATGTGTGAAGCTCATTGCTGGTGTCCCCTGCTGTGATATTGTTGGAATATTGCTAAAAGCAATGTAAAACCATACTCACTCACTCACTCACTTTCATTGTAGTGAATTCACCTCAAAGATGGAGAGCAGAACCACCATGCCCCGACGTCAGCAGGCTGCCCGCAGCACTGCTAACGACAGTCAGAACTATGACCGGAACGATGGCAGCATGTCAGACTCAGCTGTGTCGTCATCTGTGACAGAGGGACGAAAACGTCGGCCTAGTCTCGGCCACAAAGTGGCATCGCTGGTTGGTCTCTCTCGACGGAGCAGCAGTGCCACACAGCTGGCAGGTTGGTTGAATCTCGGGATCTGGAATCAAACCAGTCTTGACTTGATATCCATACAGCTGGAATATTGCTGAGTGTGACGTAAAACTAAACTCACTCACTCACTTAACTTGATGGTTGACAGTAGCACATGGCTCTGGAGTGATCATTTGTCCTTGTACATCTCGTACATCTCAAAAGATGTTAAGGATCAATTGGTTCCTTATATTACTATAGTCACTGCAGGGGTGGAAATAACTTTAAAATTGCTAGTGTACTCTGGAACAGTGGCACATTTAAAATCACTTGCCCTGATAATTTTTCCACTATATCGCCGTTTTGTTGATATTTGAAAATAAACAACATAATTAACATTGGAACATCAACTGGACACCGGTACAGTGTGATATACAAAGTTGCCCGACAGAAAAAAACACTGGACTCGGACGTTGGGCAATGGGTTATTTCCACCCCTGCACTTTGTCATGGCTGTATACTAAAAAGACTGTAGTTAGAAATTCCATCCAGGGTTTACCTGTAAGTTCTTACTATTGTCTTACTTCATTACCCTTACTTATTTAATTAACCTCTTTCAGAAAAGAAAAAGAAGAGTTCCTTCCAGCGAAGTGAGGAGGTTGGTCCTGTGGATCTCCGTGGTGGAATGTCTAAACAAGCCAGTAAAGACTCCACAGATGGAAGTATTGGCAGCATTAGTAGTGACTCCTCAAGTGTGTAAGTACCCTACCATGCCAACCCCTGTAACATCTTCGACAACACAGAACACATACTTAACAGTTGATTTCCCTTGAGTTTCTGACAGATGCCACCAGGAAGCAGGATGAGCCCACCTTTTTGCAAATACATCGTATTATTATTATTATTATAGGATATGATGCACACATCTCCAATGGCATACAAGGCTGGTATACATTTCCCCGATCATTGTATTATGATTGATGTCAATCTCAATGGCACATTATATTATCAATCTCAACTCCCTGGGGAGTATACAACTCTTGTAGCCACAAGGCACATTAAGTTACTGTGGCTTTCTCATCCTAACAAGGTACCCATTCACATCTGGTTGGACTGGGACACATAGTCACAGTACTTTGTCCAAGTTCACTGCACGTTGCTGTACCTGCAACTAGGTGTTTGCACGTATTCATGTGGCCACCATCTGGTCATATACCAACGGATTCGTGGGTTCTTTTAAGTGCACAGGGTTGTGTACTGTACACTAGGGGTTGTGACAACACTGAAAGAGTCTGCACACAAAGTTGACTCCAAGGTTTTTACACCTGGTCACAGGTGGGCTCGATCATCACTATTTGATAATGATTCATATACATGTTGTAATGATATGGTCACAATTTTACAATGGAGTCTGGCTATGGTAGAGATTTTTAAAGAGTATGAAAAGATTTTTGTCTCTATATAGAAATGAGAGTCATTCAGTTATTGTTGTCCAGACACACTTACAAATGTTATGTGGCATATATTTAGCAGTTCTGTATCATTTCAGCAGGATAAGCATAATAGAATATTATGTGCAAGTACCTTGACACACTTTATTAGTTTGTCTGTCTTCAGATCTAAACTTGCTGAAAATACATGTTTCTGCTTTCAGACTTTGGCTACCAACCCATGCACGTCTTGGTCCTGAGGGCCAGTTTGGAGATTTTGTAGATGGTTTGGGGCCATCACAGCTGGTTGGCAGACAGGTCCTTGGATCTCCGTGCCTTGGCGAGATTCAGCTCGGTTTGTATGACAGGAAAGGTCATCTCGAGGTTGAGGTCATCCGCGCCCGTGGATTATTATCAAAACCTGGAGCCAGAGTTCTTCCAGGTAAGGAATACTCCCAAGAAAACAGTTCTGTTTAAAGAACATTTTATGGAGGAATATGCAATTTGGAATAGCAGTTCAAGTCATTTACATGCAATTTCTTTTTCTGCTAAACTTAAATTTGATGAGTTATATCAGGCTAACACATCACACCTCATGTAAGGCACTATTCACAGTGTTTAAAACTACACTGAAAATAGACCTAAGCCTGTGGAACATAGTCCCTCTTTTAGTTGGTGGAAGATGTATAAATTTGAAAGATATGAATTTCTGAGAAAATATGTTATCCATGCTTTTTCAGCGCCTTATGTCAAGGTTTATCTTATTGATGGCAAGACCTGTGTAGAAAAACAGAAGACAACCACAGCCAGAAGAACACTGGATCCACTCTACCAGCAGCAGCTTGTCTTTACTGAGTCGTACATCGGCAAAATATTACAGGTACACTTTGTAGATTTGGTTACAATATTCATGCAACAATGATTTTCTGTTTTTGAACTAACCTGCAAATTTTGATCTGTTGTTGGAAAATTAAAAACAAATCTTTTGATATGGAATGTTCCTTTTGTTTGTAGGTAACCGTGTGGGGCGATTATGGTCGGATGGACAAGAAAGTGTTCATGGGAGTGGCTCAGATCCTTTTGTCAGATCTCGATCTTAGCAACATTGTGATTGGCTGGTACAAACTGTTTACAACCTCCTCATTGGTGGGTCATCATTCTTCCACCACCGGCCTTGCTCAGTCTTCATCGCGCGGTTCGACGTCATCTCTTGAAGCCTTTGGCCGCTCTTAGTAGTAGTGGGACACAGTAGCACTAGCTTTACCTTGAAAACCAGAGTTGTCTCCTCTTGGCTTACATTTCGAGTTTTGCCAAAGTGTTATCACGTGGTTTTGAGATGGATTTGTGTCAGGATTGCTGCAACCTGGTACCCCAGATGGATAGTGAATAAATGTGTTTTAACATGTGTTACTTCAGTGTATTTCATTAAAAATGATTTTCCCATTCTTGTAGATGGATTCTGTAACGATTTCAACAATCATTGATACGAAGTGTATTTTATTTCATTTCCAGCCTCCAAAGTAGATATTTCAGTAGGAAAAGTAGAAACAATACTACTTGAAGCGTAGACTGGTGTTGTCAGTGTTAACTAGGGGGAGACAACTCAACAATTTCATGTTATTCTCCAATATCATGTGTGAAGAGACAGCTTGGCTTGTATTAAAGTGTGTTAGTACAAGATATAGATTTGGCTGGATGCTTCGATACTGCAAGTTACTTCTGAATGTTTGTTCATGTGTGATATATATGTTTATGATGGTTTTGACATTCATTCAGCTCAAACTATCATGTTATTTCTACTGTTGATGTTGATGGTGAGACTACACTGCTTGTATAAAGCATTTGACATAGATGTGATAGGGGTTCAGCGAAGGGTCATAGTCATGTCACAAATGTTGTTGTTTACCCTTGGAACCTGTGCCCGGACATACGCGTTTGTGTTAAGTGGTTATGCAGGGGCACAGGGCCATGGGAACTGACTGTGTTACCATTTCTTCTCAAGTTTCAAATGCAATATACATGTTCAATGGAGGGCGTTGACTTTCAAAGGGAGACAATTCAGGAAGGTATCAGCAACTTCTGGGTCATCATTGCGGTATTCTTCCTTGATACCCTTTCAGTTGGAGGATTCTCAGAGGTTAATAATATGCTCAGGAATACACCTTCACGCGGAACATATACATATATTCCATCCCATTACCTCCGAAAAGCAAAGGATGATGGGATATGTGGAACCTGAGATGAATTTTGAGAAGGATCAATGTAGCGTGATGATAGCTAGGTTCACCGTTTGCTAATGATTGGATTTTTAGGTACTCTTCCTACACCAATTTGTGCTTAAGATTGTTTTATGCATGTTGTCATGGAGATACACACCAAGGGTGTTTTATGCATGTTGTCATGGAGACATGTTGTCATGGAGACACACACACTAAGGGTGTGTAAGGGAGTCTGGACCATGGAGAGCAAGCACGATAGACAACAAGGAACATGTGATTGTAGGGACATATGGTATCATGGTGATAGCATCATTCAAGGGTATTAGAATGGTGTATTTTAATTCAGAAGCTGCATTTTGGACCGAATTATTTGTGTGTTGCTCTGTGTTGACAGTCCAGGTTATTCATACTGTTGGAATGAAATGATCACCTTCCATTTTATTGATGGTTTAATGATGTCTGCCTCAATATTTGGAGCATTTAATAGAAGTGACTGCTTATATGAAGTAGAATCCAAGTGAGGGATATTTAATTTCTATAGTGTAGGCTGTAACAGGTATCTGTACAAGGAGTAACATACATGTTGATGTTATCAAATGAGTTTTTTGTGGCTATCTTAAACTGATATTTCCTATCATTTCTTCTTTAATGTCAAAAACAGAAATAAAATGAGTGGATTGAGGCAAAATAAAAATGTGCAGCATATTATCTTGAAAAGATAATATATTGAAAATGCAATATAATGCTCTTATATTGAAAAGATAATATATTGTATTAAAGTCTTTAGGTCTTAAAAATCAGATAAAACAAGTTTTGAAACAAATAACCCCCAAAATAATCTTTCATTCTCTCTCCTTTTCTATTCATAAATTCAGTGTAGCTCTGCTATAAACAAGAATTAAAGTGGAATGTTATGACTAAACAACATGTAAAAAGAAATTCATCTGATGACATAGTTTTTCTTTTCGAGTTTTCACAAATTTCATAATACTGATTGATGTTAATATGTCTCTTTCATAATTCAGTTGTTTGACAGCTATGTGATAATGATATAATGACTATGCTACAAGTATTGTTGGATACTAGCTTGATCTTGGTAGGTGATAATGAATATTCACTCCAGTAATTAGTACAGCTCTTGTCCTGTCAATTGAGTGTTTAATACTCATTGACCATATGAAGATATCCATTTTATACCCTTTACAAGAATTTTCAATAGCATAGCCAGATACTGCATTTGAAAACAGTGAATTGATAAACAATGAAAGTGAAACATCATCAGTTTTATGAAATTTAAAGCAAACTAAACCTTCATTCCTTTCGAAAATCAACAGCCTTACTGGTGGTACCAGCATGGAGTTGGTGTCTATTCCTGCATACACATTCACTGTAGGAAAGCAGATGTTTTGTCCCCTGTTGCCTGACATTCCCATGTCTGAAATGTAATGAATATAAGAGTAATATTCGGAAAACAGTGGGTACAAAAAGTATTCCTGTTTGATCAAAAGCATCTAATTTGAGTTGATGTTTAGTCCTTTCCATCTTCAAATGGATTGTTATGTTTGGTTTTTCTGTTCTTTGAGAAGGAAGAAATAGATTTGAAACATCATATAACTCATCCTTTAACTCCCTGGTCATCCAACATAAAATTGCCCAAATTATTAACTGAGACTGCTTGAAGTATGAGTCATGCTAATTACATTAATATGTGTGAAATGTGCCCCTGAGTGTAACTTGAACACAAACTGGTGAATGTGTAGCTGGTACTTTTATGGAGGTTTTACTGTCGTCATTGGTATTTTGAAGCCATGTGTTACGATCACCAAGAATAACATCAGAATGGAAGATAGGTGACCCAAAATGAATGGAAAACAGACAGTGACCATGGTTTCACTTGCCAGATGATATTGGTGTAGTTACTCCTCGTACAGGGACTGAAAACAGAACTTGTACAGGTTTTTCTAACAATCACAGATGGCATTGTCACAATAGGACTAGCTTTACCTGGTATCTATCTGTTGGATAAGTTTAAAAGTATTTTTTTGTCAAATGAATCCTACATGTCATTTGTAAAACCAACTTGTTCAATTGTGGAGAGAGACACTTGCAATTTATGTATACTTGCTGATTTTACTATGGAGTTATGTGAAACTTGTACACAGATGAGTAGTGGACTGTCACCACAGATGCATCTGGTATGTGTACTGAAATCAGATGAACACACATTGTTGGTGCCAAATATCCTCTGATCTCCTGTGCAGTGTTTGTTCTGGGGGTCAGATTCCATGTGCATGCATTCAACTTGAATACAATTAGGGAGCATGTCAAAATCTAAAAATGTTCTTTTCCTCAAAGTTATTCAAATTGTGTATGGTATAAAAAGCATGTATCTTTCCATTCATACAAGAGCTTATTCCTACTCCCAGTTTAGATATTGCATGCTAATGCTGTTGAATATAACAAATTTACTTGAAACATGAAACAAGGAATGTTTGACATGTTCCCTACGGACTCATTTATCTACTAATGCCTTATTAATGATTTCTTTAACAACATTGTTGATACTAGCCTAGATGTACCCTAGTGTTGTAGATATTTGTGAAGCTGTTGGAAGATGTAGACTTTAGCTTAAGATATGGGATCAGCATTGCAAGACCATAGCTGATCTGCCCTCTTATATTTATTTGTATTTGGTTATCACCCCTTGTACATTTGTGAAAGAGTTACATCCCTTTAATCTTGTTCATATTTGACTCCCCAAGTGACAATTCCCTTGCAGTTACGCATTGGATAGTTTCTTACCAAGTATATGTGTATTTTACATGTAAACTTTCTTATTGTTTGTTTTTATACACAACACATCAAAAATTGTATATTGTTGTATGAAATAATATAATGCACAGCTTCAATTGTTATTGAAAGAGTCACTCTATTGTTTATTACATAACCCATTTGTGAAGATTGCTTGCTTTTAGTCGTACATTCCACAAAGTGATAATACTTGTTGATTATTTGAGATTATATCTACACTTAGATTACATCTTACCATTTCAGAATACTGCATGTTTGTACAATTTGTTCTAGAAAATATGTTGTCTGTATATTCAAATACTAAATGGTTACAAATACCTTTTGATGTAAAAATATCGTTTGGATTTTGTAGATTTTAATAATTAAAATCAGGGATTATGTATACGACTACTTATTTGTTATGCTCTAAATAGTTACTGTTCTTTAAAGTTAACCTGTTCTTATATCTTGGAGTAGTGATATTATCAATTTGAAATTTGAGAATCACGGCTGGTTCTTGTTAAGTAATATTGTCTTAAAGTTTTGAAAAGCCTGATTTAGGCTTTGCATTGAAATTGGTTTGTTGTTACTTTGAAGCATATTATTATTATAAATATGAATACATGACCAACTATTTCTAGGTAAGATATGGTGAAATATGGTGAAGAGGTTCTGCATTAAGCCCATCTGTTACTAAACCTTTAGTCAATAGGAAAGAGAAAATGTTGCAATGGCTGTATTTGGTGGTATTTTTTATTTACATGGTTATTGTCCATATGTAAAAACAAATGGATTATGAATTGAAATGCTAAATAAATGTATTGGAAATGGCAATAATAAATCTTCCTTGAAACACCAGACAATGGCAAAGGTAATATGGCATTTTGAATGAATTATGAGAATAAATAAATTTATCACAAATGCCTGTGATCAATTTTCTTTTCAAACACCTTTGGTTTAGATAATATGTAAAATATATTGAGAAAAAAATAAAATAAAAATGAATTAAATCTTAAACCATAGATGCAAAATATGTATGCTGGACGTCAATCATCAGTCAGTTACTCAGCCAGGATTGAGTGACACAGAATGAAAGGAAAGTGGGTGAGCAAGATGGCAGTTTTTTTTGGGTCACATGTGTCAGTACACAAGACAAATGGCCATTTTGAAATAAAGAGATTAGGTCAATATGTGTGATTATTAAATGGTATGTTATCATGTTGTAGTCTGTGATATTTTGTTATTAATTTTCACGTATGTATTCAAAACGTTTATGACATTAACTATTAATTATTTTGTTAAATATATGTCTCAATCTGCAATGCTCAGAGTTGCACAGTTCATGGTTACACTATGCTGGTTTGTTTTCAGGCCTGTGACTTATCCATCGGATAGTGTTAAAGGTCTTGCAAGAAACTGTTCAAATATATCAAAACTTATAACTGTATTGATGTGATAACAAATTAAAAACTGTCAACATTGAGATGTAAGGGAGAAAGCATGGTGATTTTGGTCTGCATATGATCGATCATCTGGCTGCATGTAAAAGTGACTTCACTCAGAAATCTAACCAGAAGTCACATAAGACTTCATCAGGAAACATGGATGGTAGCTGTATCCTGAATGAGATTATAAACACTTCTTCAAATAAAGTAATGAATTTAAGTTGTAATTTACAGCATCTCGCTAAAGCCTTGTCCATTAAAGTTGTTTTTCTTTAATTCTCTTTTTGTGCCTGTTGTTAGTTGTTTACTATAATGTCCATTACTCAGTATTGCAATGCATGTGATATTTGTTTTATTTCTCTAGTGTGCAATATACTCTGTATAATACTAGACATGTTCTATTCCTCCAGGTAGTCCTGGACATTGTGCTACAGTGGGATGAAATGCCATGGTCTTGCACTGATGATGATCGTTAGGGTTAACTAGATTCACAGTTGTATGGGTTAACTAGCTCTAATCAATGTGTGATTGACTAATTAACAATGGTGAAGAGAAATCCACCAGTCAGCATGCCTGATGCAGCTGCCACTGTGAAATTGTTCTCAACCCATTTGTTACAACCATTGTCATTGGACAGCATCCAGTTTGGATGATATCCTTTGTATCAAGGTCACGTTCAACTGGTGATTTTTTAAATCATAGTTCATTTCATTTATTTATTCTTTGAATATATACTTTATTTATTGAAGTTAGTTTCCCGTGAGCACGAGTGACAGAGAATGGACCATTACGTGGAGATAAGTCTGCCTGTGCATGCATGGCGGACATCATTGTTCATATCATTCTGTACATTCTATGTACATTGCTGTCTTCATTGTGTACATTATGTTACCATGGTATGTGTCTAAACAGCAACTGAAGTATGTAGAACATTTCCCAGATCAACTCCCAATAGTTCTTCTAATGTTCAGCTGTACATAAAGCAAAGTCCAGATTTAGTGAAGTGAAGAGAGTAGCGGCCTTGCCTGAAACACAAGTAAAACATAGTCTAGTGATATCACATATATAACAGTAAAACATCCTCATTTGATATCTCAGCACATGGCTCATTTGATATTGCCAACAGTAAAACATTGTTCATTTGATATTGCCAACAGTAAAACATTGTTCAGTTGATATCGCCAGCAGTAAAACATTGTTCAGTTGATATCACCAACAGTAAAACATTGTTCAGTTGATAT